CGGCACTGAGCGCGAGAGAGACAACGTATCGGACGCACTCTTCGCACTCATTTTTTTTGAAACAATATATCCATTTCAACCTACTCTAAGAAAATACCCTACGTTACAATTAAAAAAAAGAAATTATCTTTAACCGATTTAGTTTTTGATTTTGAGTCGATTAAAAATAATAGATGCGAAAAAATGTTTCATACAAAAGTTGTAGATTTTTATATTATCTACAACTTTTGAGTAAAACATTTCCGATATCTATTATAGTTTTCGCTGAAAGACACAGCCTACAAGATGTATGAAAATACATCTGAGTATCTGTGGAGAAATAAATTTAGAATAAAGAGCAGCTGTATAAGATTGGTCAGAAGAACCTGTAGATATTTGTGTGATGTTATGAAGATATGCTCCAGAAAAGAAGTCAAACAAACTCTTAATGGAAAACCATCAAAATGGAATAAAGGAATGCTTGGAGAATAACATATTTGTTTTTTAAATTCTCAGTTTTTAATAATTTTTTTTTGTTTTTGTTTCTTATAAACTGTGTGCCAATTTGGAAGTGGCTAAGAAATTTTTTTTATTTAAAAAGTGGCTTACTTTTTAGAAAAATTTTTTTTCTTTAGTAATCATCATTTTCACGACTTTCACCTTACTTTAAGGATGAAGTAACGAAAATATTTTGTTTCAATGTATAGCAGGCTTTCATATCTTCATTTAAAGAATATAAATATATAGTAAATTATTCCTTTTTTTCGAATTATGCAGCTTAAACGATGGTGGACTGTTACTTTAAGGAAAGCATTCTGTCCATCAAGCCTGTGTGCTAAATGCAATACACCTATCAAAGTAGCAAGTCTGTGGAAACTATCCTCCACGACTTCGTAAGGGGGCTAAAGAGAGAAATAAAGTCTAAATTATTTTAAAAAGGAATTAAATAAATAATTTACAAACAGTATTTTTTTATGTAAAGACGGATTAAAGGTGACGGAGGAAGCTCATGAAGAAATAGAAATGGTAATCCACCTAAATAATAGTAAAGTGATTTGGATAGTAAAAGTGTTCTGACATTGAGTTGGCTGAGTGAGAAGTCGGGATTTTGTGGACTATATTTTTAAGGATATTTGGATGCTAGAACAGTCGGGACTTTTGAACGGTGTAAATAAATCGGCTGACACTATTTAACAGTAACAATTACCGATTTATTAAACACTAACAGAAAAATAACGATAAGAGAGTCTTTGAATTGTCTAATTTGATTTAAACTTACTTCTCCAGTCATCACGAAATAATCGTCACCATTAATGTTAGTTTGGTTAAAGTAATTATAACTTTAAGTTTATAATTAAATTAGAATTATTATTTTTTAAATTTATTATTATTATTCATTGTTTAAATTAAGGTTCGAAAACTTTTAATTGGGGATAATCTATTGCCATAGGGGCTATCTAAAAGGGTATTTAATCATAAACTTTTTAAATAAATTTAGATGTAAAATATCTATTTAAAACTACTCCATCGATAATTGCTCGGATGGTATCAAAACTTTTGATAGACCAGACATTAATGACATACAACTGGCCAATTGAGGTCGGACTCGTAGTGGCATGATGTAAGGCCTCGGGCTACCCTGCTTAAACAATCCTATTGGGAGGAGGAAGTTCAATAGGAGAATTGTATCGGAAATTTCCTGTTGAATCCTATTGAAGGTTTTTTTTTTCCTATAGAAATCGCCTGAACCGTATTCAGTTATCCTATTGAAGAACGCTAAATCCTGTTTAGCTACCTTATTAAGGTATGCTGAATCCTATTCGATTTCTCAATAGGATTTGATAAAATTCAATGGGAATATTGTTGTCTCAGAATTCCCTATTAAATTAAGGGCAAACCTATTGAACGTTTCAATAGTATCTTATTACCACAGAAAAAAAATCAGTTTAAACAAAAGGAATATTTAATTTGCTCTAGAGGTTTTTTGTTTATACAGATTTGTTGTTTAGATATACACCTGAAATGAAATTTATCAGAAACTTTGTCCGAAAAAATTTTGCCGATGGTGAGATTCGATCCTGGGATCCTCGGCTCCACAGTCCAGTACGCTGCCGATTGCGCTATTCTAAAACATGGAAACATGACTTTCGCCTGATTTATTTAAGTTAAAAATTTGAAACAATTCAAAGTTAATCAACTTTGCTTCCAAGTAAGTACTTTAAAGCAGAAAGAGAATAATTTTCATCTGTAAAAATATAACAGGTAAAGCGCAACTTAGAAATTATATCTTTATCCCAATGTCCCACGATAGGATTATTATATTATTTAAAAAGAAACTATAAAAACAATTTCTGTAGAAAATCAATGGATTCACCCGGAAAATACGACTTAAGAAATATTTTCTTGCTTTAATATTTCTGAATAGAAGTTGATGATTTTTACTATAACTAATTTCTATTTTGATCTATAGAAAAGAAGATGATTAACCCTTTGAGTCATGCTTTTTTCTACTGCATATTATGACCTGAAATTTTGAACTCGTTGATTTTTGAGGTCGCTAATCACGAATCTGAGGTTATATTTTTATAATTTTCAAATCCAAGATAGCGGACAAAATGTGTGAACTTCAATCAAATTTCACTAAAATTGGTATACAGAGGTTTTTGGGAATGCTGATCATGAATATGAGCTTAGATTTGCAAAATTCAAAATGGCGGCTTACATTTTGTGCAATTGAATTGTTTAGACCAACCGATCAGACATAATTCTATTGCATATTTTGGTCTAAATTTTTGTACTCGATTGTCCTTTTGTGGTGACTAATTACAAATTTGAAGTTAGATTTACAAATTATAAAATGGTGGATCAAAGATGGTGGACTAAATATGCAGTGAAAGAATTTTTGTCTGGTTAGTCTAAAATATAAGTTCAGTTTTACATATTATGCCCACAATCTTGGATCCGCCAGTTTGAATTCCGTCAATATAACCTCAGATTCATGTTTAACGATTCCAAAAACTCCTGAGTACAAAAATTCAGACCAAAATATGCAGTAGAACATTTTTGACAGCGGTTTAAATAGGTGGTGCTCTGGCAGTACCGTGACTCGAAGCGTTAAATAAAAATATTAGTGCTCTGCAGTGATCTGAGTACGACCCGAGAGGTCCACACGACCAACTTCCCAGTAGAAATGAAATTAAAAACGGTATGTTTCGTTGTTATAATGATTATTATTATTTAAATACCTATTGTTTTGAAATGATATTGAAAAAAGGACTAAAGAATTTATAGGCATTAATAATAAACAGAAAAAGAGTTAGAATTTATCTTGCTATATCTTAATTATCAATTCGTTGTAAATAAATTGCAAAACAAAATATGACTTAGTAGTTTCTAGTGACAATATTTCTTAACAGGCCTTAAAATTTTTTTACACAGATGTTTCCTCCAATATTCTATAGGGGAATAAATAGATAAAAAAGAGAAATATGACTTATAAATAGATAAAAAAATAGAGTTATATTTTCCCAGAGGTATACCCTATTCGCCGAAGAACTCGATTTCGTAATATAAGATCGACAAACCGGAAAAAATTTTTGAATCAAAGCCTTTAATTAACAATAAACAATGTAAGACAAAGGAAAAAAAGAAAAACGATTGAATTTTTTGATATTATGCTAAGAAATCGTTTTGAGATCGCTTGAGAAGAATTCTGTAATGCCGACAAATTGGCATGATAACTATAAAATAGTTAGTACGCCCTTTTTTATTTCTTAAGATCGAATATCGATCAATATGAAGTATCGTTGATTTAAATAACTGAAAGGTTATTAATGAAAATGTTCAGGTTCTAGTAAGAAAACATTGTTTACAACAAAAAAACACAATGATACGTACATTTTTCTTAGCCTGCAAATATTTTTGTTTTTTTGGAATAGTTCAGTTACATAAAATCTAAAACTCAAAAATCCTTCAGTAGATGAAATTTTGATAGGATATTTTCAGGGGATGTAGAATAAGTTACCACTAGAAATAAGTGAACTTCGATACTAGACAATAGTTTAAACCACCCTTTAAAGGCATTTTCATGCAATTTGTTTACGTTTGTTCTCATTTTTTGGAGAACTATGATAGATAAAAAAAATTGTTTTATATAAAACTTATAGCTTCAAAGATTTCACACATAAAATTTTGCATCTTTACATCCTTACAATTAACAGTAAAAAGTAGGGCTGTGCGAATAGTACTCAAATCAAATCGAATTATTCGTTATTTCGAATAATTCGCACAGCTCTAGTAAAAAGTTATTGACCTCGAAAGGTTGATAAAATTAAAAACATCCAAAAAAGTAAACACCCTGTATGAACGACATTGTCATGAGAGAGACTGCGCGATTAGTCAGCGCTTGTCATACTCAGAATATTTTTGTATCTAAACATATGCATTTGGTGTTCCCCTCATTAAAATAAAAAATAATAAACGTCATAGAAACAATGTAAGCTTCTAAAAGAATAGCTGATGCCCAAGGTCAGTGTTTTCCATTTTTTAAAATCTACAATTAACAATGGATTCAGCTTAGCTACTAAATTTAGGGAGTGAATTATATATTATAATTGACTATTTATAAATAATAAACACTTATTGAATGACAAATAAATTAATTAACTATTGTTTTCTATAATAATATAATTAAATCAGGTACAAGAAGATATGAATAATAAACTTAATTAGTTATTTCTATATAATAATCAATTAATTTTTTACTATTATTTGTGTATTTAGTTATTGACTTCATTAATTTTTTTTTATTTATAAGTTTATTTAAAAGTGTTTGTTATACAAAAAAAAAATAAAAATTCAATCCTAAAAAAGTTTTCTTTTCCTCGATTTACTTTTACACTCTATTAATTAGTAAAATCTAATTCCAAGATTTAAACATTTAATAATAAACCATAGAATTCATAGCATTAAATTATTAATAAGAAAATAAATTGGAATACCTATGTATTACATGTACTCACCAATTAATTTACAACTATTGCCCTGAAGGGAATCGCCGGCGAGTTGAATGATTGCCATAAGTAAATCGCCAAGCATTAAACATATAACGTGATAAGTTTGACATCTCCAATGCAAAACGTGATGTGAAGAAGGAAGAAGCCAACCGGTAGCTAATGTTGCAGCCAAAAATATAGCACTTATAATCAAACTTATAGCGTAAATCCGGAAACGTACATCCATTCTTGTAACTTTTGATCTAAATTAAAATAAACATTTTATTTACTTTAACATTAATGATCATTATAAGTAAGGTAAATTTATTCTTTAAATATAAATATGATTGTATGTTAGACATGTAGAATGACAAATTACAAATATATAAAATAACCTAATAAAAAAGGTAAAGAAGCTACTTCCAAACATACTTTAAATTGAAGAATAATTTAACAATAATCTCTTATTCTCCCTTATATTTTTCATTTATCGAAATAAAAATGTTTAAAAAATCATGTTAAAATTAATTTCAAATGTATATTCGTGTAATTAACATTTCGGAAATTATAGTAGAATCAGGAGCATACATATTATTAATAAAATACTGTCATATCTCTAATAAGTCAAATTTTTCAGTATTGGAATTTACTTTTTAGCAGAACAAGTCAATTCATGTAAAAACTCATAGAAATACAATTTCTAAAAAATAGGTCTGAGCAAACTTTGTGCTAACACGACGAACTCCCCATTAGTAATTGTTTATAACAAATTCATGTTGTTATAAACAATGCGTAATTGTTAAGAGTCATATTTCATCATTAATCATATTTTTTTGTTGAAAGCATCCAAATCCATGTGATATACGCATCAGTTAATCGATAAATACAATTTTCAATGGTTTATAACAAATTCATATTGTTATAAACAATGCGTAATTGTTAAGAGTCATGTTTGGTTGTGAACAATAATGTCTGGTCAATATCGACTTAATTTTCAAATGGAATTGTTATTGTTTGGCTTAGAAGTATTTTGAATAGCTAATCTTTTCATTTTTTATTAGTTATTTTGTTATTAAAAAAAAACGGCTCGATAGAATTCGTTCAAATTTCTTTCAGGTCTTCTTTATAATAATATCTTTCGAATTAATTTTGGTTGAAGTCGATATCTCAATTTTTTCTTGAGATATCGAAAACGAAAAAATGCTGACGTCCGTACATACATACATACGTACACACACATACATCATTCTAAAAATATGTCAGTATGCTTGCAAATATCTTGAAACGTGGAGATTTAATGAAAATTCAAATTTCACCAATCGACCCAATTACAATAACTTCCTAATGGAAAGTTAATAAATCGTCCTAATAATGGTGTTGGTGATTAACATATTAGACTTAAACTATGATAACAATGTTACATTTAATAAATTAAAATTAAAACTCTATTTTATTATAAAAAATTTTATACCGTTGTGATGTATATTCCGAACACGCGAAAATTTTCATCCTTTTATCAAGTTGTTTTATTTGTTCCACACAATATTGAGAAGATGGCAAAACCAAATTATTTACTTGCAAATCGCCATTTGGTAGATAGTGAGATTTGCTTGCATCTCCAACGATAGTGAAGTTTTCAGAATGCAAACATCGAGGAAATCCAAAAACAACTTCAACATTTGATGAAATGTTTGGTAATAGAAATTTTTCATCTTCATTATTTGGCTGTATCACACATGAATGCCTGTAAGCATAGTAAAATAACTAATTCCATAAAATCAACTATCACAATATTTCAACTACCTATAGATCTATAGATTTTTCTGAAATTAGTACCGTCACAATTAAATGAATATGAGATTAACACACTTCTCACTGTAGATGAATGACACTTTCTATGACCATTAAATAAAAACAAGTTAATTTGAAGTATGAGAAACTATTAAAGTTAAAAATTTGAAATGAAACTTAGACGAAGCTAGGACTTTTATTCTTTAAAAATTTTTATATTAACTAATGGTTTATTAATTAAATTACTGATAAACACCTCTGTGACGAAATACAGATACACAGGAATTAGAAGCGTAATTAGTATTTGGTTAATATGAATACCAAAAATTTTACCTGTCTTCATCAAAAATAGCATTCTTTCCACAACATCTATAGATATTAGTTCTACTAGTGATTTCTGTTTTGTTTTGTACTTTTTTAGGTGTACAAATTAGAAGAGCTTGAGAATCCGTACAAAATTCACTTGGCGAAAAATAAGTTCCTTTTTCAATGTCAGATACTGCATTACCGTTTTCCCAAAAAATGCAAGGTAAATACCTTGTGCAAGGCACAACTTTCAGAATGTGGTCACTCAAGCAAGTGGGCTTCATTTCTTCTTGAATTATCCATTCAGGAGGTATTTTTGGTGAAAGTGAATTTTGAGAAGGTGAATAGATCAACGGCTCCCAAGATGCCATACTTGGTTTGCATACGGGATCAGAATTTGTATTTTGTGACAATGATAATTCTTCACCATTTCGACAACATTTAAAAATTATTATCTGTGACGTAACTCCAAATACAAATGATAATAAAACTATAGAACATAACGTAATCTGCGACATTATTGTCGTATCTCAAGATCCATTTATCATTTATAAAAATTAATTTTAACTGTTAAATCACTGCAGTCATGGATTTTATTCTCAAGTTATTATGTGTATACTGTAAATTAATATGACATACTGTATATTACGATATAGATCGTAATATACATAGTCGAACAGAAGAATACCATAGGATGTTCTAATGTCATCCGAGTAGATTTTCACGATTCGGTACAAAGTATCGACACACTACATTAAATCGATTGTAAATATATCGATATCAGCATTTACGAACAAATTTAAGTATTGAGGCTGGGTTTTTCTAAGCTCAAATAATCACAAATTTTTTTCTTGTTAAATTATAATTTTTTTGTGTAAAAAATATTTATAAATGTTGAGGAAAATTTTATACAGGAGAAAAGACAAAATTTGACAATGTAATATAAGTGCAGGAATAACTATATATATATATATATATAATTATATGTATAATCATGCACATAATTACATGTATAATTATACTTATCTATTAATAGCTAAATAAATAATTATTTTAAAAAAAGGAAAAGTAAAAAATGCATAATTCTACGAGAAAATTTGAGATAATTTGAGGTTAAGAAAGCCGAGCCTTAATATCCCAAAAATTATTAATTAAAAATGGAGATATCTTAAATTTTTTTTTAAATAAACAATAGTATTAATAAAAATGCAGTTCAAAACATTCAACATTACATAATATATTAATGTATATTTATATACAGGGCGTCCTGTAACTTATAGCGAAGCCGGATATATGTTATGTAAAAAAATAAATAAAAACGATCAATGGGCACTTATATTAAACTTATATTAAAAATAATTTATTTCTTGGTTTATCGATACTGATATCGAGACTTTCAGATTTCTCTTCTTCAAAAAAATTAAATTATTTTTATGTAATCATATAATCGAAGTAGATTGTTCCAATTTCAAGTATGATTTGGTCTCTAAACTATTAGAAGGTGTTTTTGTTGATGGTAGTTAGGATTATTTTCTTCCAACTAACTTATAGAGGTTTTTGTATTAAGTAATTCTTGCACATTTATCTGTGAGATTTGTTTTATTAACCTCATTAATTAACATAACAAATGATTTCAACAGTAGGATGTATTGCACATTACCTAAGTATATTTTTTAACAATAAAATTTTTTATTATTCATAAAATTTGCAAAAGTTTAATTTTAAAATTCATCATTTATTTAAATTCCGGAAGAATAATTTTCACAGTTGTAGGTGGCGTGACGATACATAATGGCGATAAACTTCATTAAAACGCGAATTAATCCACCAAACTTTAATAATTTTTTTCGCGAAAACTATCAATTTGCGAATATAAGTTCCCATAACAGATCGTTTTTATTCATTTTTTTACATAGCACATATCCGGCTTCGCTATAAGTTACAGGATACCCTGTATACATATTATATTCGTATTATGGCAGACGATCATTCATGTCGCATACAACAAGTATGGGTGTTCAAAACAAAATATTCATTATTTTGAACATTAATATAAAATCTCATTGATTGCTATTGCTACACTACTAGCCAAAAATTTATGTCCATCCGTTCGATCTTTATGTTTTATTACATGACTCTTTCGAATTTTTGTCTCATAATTGTCAAGCTAAGTTCGAAACAATCTTATACAGAATAAAAATGTCAGTATGCGTTATTTGTTTACTTCATACTTAAGCATGTTTTCATTTTGTAACCTACAGGGTGTAAAAAGATTTTTGATTAGTAGTGCATATTACATCATCTTATTATTGTCGAACTGAGAAAAGAGTTCCTCAGTTGCTTCAATGCTTTCAGGCTCCCCACCACTGATTTCCTACCCCTGCTACCACGTTTTTCGCTACTGCGCAAGCGTACCAGAACACATGAGGAACTCTCTTCTCAGTCCGACAATATAGTCGGACTGAGAAGAGAGTTCCTTAAATGCTCTTCATGTGTTCTTGTACGCTTGCGCAGTAGTAACAAACGTGGTAGAAGGGGTAGAAAATCAGTAGTGGGGAGTCCGAAAGCATTGAAGCAACTGAAGAACTCTTTTCTTAGTTCGACTATAGTTTCGATGGATAAGTTCATCAATCGTTGTCAATGAAATAATAAATTTATTTAATTGGATTAGTTTGTGTACCTAATTAAATGTCCGAAATAATTAAAACAATTTAATAAAAATTAAATTAAACTATATTGAATTAAATTAAATTTTCACAGTAGTTCTTTCTGCACTTATTATAATTACTTATTCAAGATAAATTCAAACGTTCGGCTATAATTATTCTACCACTTGAAATGATATTCGAAAAATAGTATAGTCTTAGCATATTAAATATTGTCAGTATTTCAATAAAGTAGATACATAAGATTAAATTGTATATACTGAGTTAACTTTTTTTGAAAATAAATTAAGGCAAAAAAATTTTTAGTATTCGTTATAGAGAAAGGAAACTTTTTTGAAACTCAAATAATAAAATATCTATTTAAATCGAAATTTGAAGGAATGCATATATCAAAGTGTTAAAAAAGAAAACTATTGAAAGTTTGACGTAGATTTGACTATTGGGAAAACATGTCATGTTAATTAGATTACATTAATTATTAACTATAATTAAATAATTTTATTATAAATCTACACATATTCAAAAAATATTTGTTGTAACTTTCACTTTATATTTACTGAAAATACAAAATTATTTCATCAATACTTATGTTACTGATTAAATATAAATTTCTCTCAAAGTCTTACTCGATTATAATTTTTGAACTTTGTAAACTACAAAAATGAAAATGATCATGTTACATTATTATTGTATTTAAAAAATGAAAGCAATATTTTCATTACATTGTAGATTTTTCTATAGAATTTTACTGTTTCTTTTTGAGAATATACATATCTTATTCTCTATTATTTATTACGATATAATGATGTTTGTGGTCAATATTTCAAAATTATCTGTAGAAAAAATTATGATTAAAATATTTTAGTTTTTTACATCAAATATCAAGCATTACTATTACAATGAATTGATGCAGATAAAATCAAGTACAAATAATTTTTACATTATTATAAATGGTGAACAAATACAACTTTGGCCAACTAATGTAAAATTATGAAGGTAACTTTACAAACATAAAAAAGGCCTTTAAGGTGATTCTAACAAAAATGCTCGAGCTTTTGCTGTCATTTTTCGAACACGTCCTCTACTACTTATACTGATACCGGGGCCGGGTCCACTATCATCACTATCTTCAGCATAATAACGTCTTTTTATACTTCGTCTATTTCTAATTGGAGCACTACTATTTTCATCACTTTCTTCATTGTACCGAGGGCGTTTTCTTCTTGTCCGAGGTTCTGTTGAATTTTCATTTTCACAACTATTATTAAATGAAATTTCTCTTTGCGGTCGTATTTTTCGCATTTTCACTACGCTATCGCTATCAGATTCTTCAGTACTTGAACTAACATGACTAAATGTTTGTTTATAAACGTCATTAGAAGATTCTTCACTCACATATTCATGATAACTGTAACTAGTTGTTGAAATTTCTTCTTGATGTTCAATAGCTTTACGAGTTTTTTTACAGTTCTTTTGAATTTTATCATTTTCACTATCACTGTCGAAACTTTGAAATCCTACAGATTCTTGTGTTTTGTTCGAATCCATATGTTTTTGGTCTTGATTCCTACTATCGTTATTTCTGTATTTATAGTTTTTGTTATTTTTACGATTATTATGCTTAGATTTTTTAACACTACTTTTACGCGTCGGTATTCTTCGTTTATCCGGTTTGTAGCTATCAGTGGAATCACTATCATCACTATCTATATGTTTTTTCGCTTTTGCCATACCCACAGTTGCACTATCACTGCTATCTGCATCAATCGATGACTCCAATTCATTTTGAACTGGTGACTTTTTAATTTTCACTTTCGTAGTAACTGTTCTAAGTTTCATTGGTCTAGATTTTGTAGAACATTGATCATAACCATTATTAACTCGAGATGGACCTGTAAAAATTAATTTCAATATTTTATTATAATACAAAACGATAAGATAATGAACAATTTTAGCTTTTTTACTACCATATAATATCTAACTAAATATAAAAGAATTATTCTTGAAATAAAATCTAATTGTTTAAATTATATTTTCTTTCAATTTCCTAAAATTATTTATATATTATAAGTATATAAGTATAAGTTAAATCTTATTGATTGAATAATTTTTATCATTTAGGATAGTTTGAAATAAAATGACGGAGATATTATCATTATATTATCATTATTAGTGATGTAAATTTATGAATATAATATTCATATCGTATAAGTATTATAATTACCTGGTCCATTGTACTGAGTAGTATGTTTTTGTTGGAGTGGTCTTTTTTTACGTCCCGAGTAAATAGTCTTCTTTTTTTGATCAGTATATTCCTCATTGCTATCATAATCATCATCATCATCATCATCATCATCATCATCATCATCATCATCATCATCATCATCATCATCATCATCATCATCATCATCAACATCAACATCAACATCATCATCGACATCATCATCGTTATCATCTTCTTCATCATCATCATTATTGTCATCATCGACTCTATCTTCTGTTTGTTGTTTTTTTGAAGTACCTAAGAAAATTTTTAAAAACATTGATCGGGTTTATGACTAACGAATATATAAATATTTATTCAGAAACAATTAAATTTACGATTGACAATAGCACTTAAAAGTATTTCGATTGTGTAACATTTGTTATTCTTTTTAAAAATAAAATTATCAAAATAATATCTCGAGTATAGGTGAAATTATTCAAACGTATTAAAACAGTGAATAGCTTTTGAAGATTTCACTTATTAATTTTTATATTTTGTGTTAATGAAATTAATATGTTTGTCAAAGTACTTTTAAGTTTTATATATATTACCTGCAATACTTTTTGAGCAAGTGTTCGATTTTTTTAAACCACATTTTCTTTTTTCATTTCTGTTATTTTGATTTCGACGTCTTACTGATTTCCATGTATATATAATTTTGCGCATATGTTCTTCGAACATAGCTGATAGTCTTATTGTCATAGAATATATCTAAAAATTTTAATCGTAAAATAAAATTAATCATTAACTAATTAATGTACTTGAAATTTCGATAGTTTTTGAATTCACTTACTCTTGATTTTTTATTAGTATTATAATTTCTACTATTAGTAAATATCAATCTCATATCTTTAGCAAACTCTTGGGGAGTTTCATAGTTGCCACCTAATAAATCTTCTTTTATTGTTCGTAAATCCATTGGGGTGTCAATTATTTGGTAATAATCTGGATGTTCTAATCGATCTACTGGCTCTCTATAAAAGAAAAAAAAAATATTACTATATAATGTAACATGGAATTTGTCAAACATTTCACCCAAACTGACCTAAATGGTACAGAATCATCACATTGCCATAAAATTTCTAATAACTGACGACATGACAATTTCCAATCAATACAATTATTTTTGTGAGATCGTAGATTACGATTACATAATCCTTGACTTGTAGAAGGCATAGATATTTTATTGTTTAATTCTATTTCTGAATCTGAAGAATGATATGTATCAACTAGTTGATGATATACTGCGGGTACATCTATTTCTGTAGTCTCTCTAAATAGATAATCAATTAATTAATAAAAATAATAACAATACGATAATAATTAATGAATAATTGATTATCAAATTACCTTATAATTTTTAAACATAAATCGGTAACAATCCGTGCAGACTTGACAATTTGACTATGAGGTTCGTTGAATTTTTCAGCATTTGTTGCTAAATATCTTACATCAAATTGAGCTGCAATCTTTCTTCGATAAAAATGGTTTTCTAATCGTGTTTTTATGGTTGATAAATCAATTGGATATTCCACAACAAATGCATAAGATGGATAAATATTCAGATCAACGGGTGTTATAAATGGTTCTGCTATAGCAAGAGACATGACTTGATCAATTCCACGTACGATACGACGACAAGTAGCTTCTCTATCTCCCATCGGCCATTCATCTGGTTTAGGCTGATATAAGGTTGTTTGAATTTCCTCCGGCAATACAGGTACTGCACCGCCAATTTCTAACGGTAATCCTAATTATATATTATTATACGTCTATTAAGTATGATAGAATAGCTAATAAAGATTATATGTTGAATGTAGGTTTAAAAAATTTAACTCACGTTCATTATCGATAAGTTCTAAATCCCATGGACTCATCTTTTCATATTCACCATTATCCCATCTTACTCGAAAACACATGAAAAATGATTCCGGAAATTCTTCATCTAATGGTTCGACAGATTCGATTTGACCCATCCACCAGCCATCATCGATCATACATCGAAATCTATCACCTACAGACCAATTCCGCATCAAAGCTGTTTCAAATGTCTGACGTAGAACTAAAAAATCTAAAACATCAGCCATATCATGGTATTTTACAGTAAAATTCTCTCCGGTAAGACCGCCATCTTCATCTAATAACGCTAATTTTAAGCAACAGAGACGTGGTGGTCGAATTTCATATTTAATACCAACAACTTTCACGAATTCTTGCGCCTGAAAGTTTCATCAAATATAGAATTAAATTCTTAAAATTGTTGTAATTGCAACGATAAATGAATAATATTCATAAATGAATTACATACTTTTATGTTCATTTTGGACCATGGTTCACAACGAGGACCTATTTCATATACTTTTTTATTTCTAACAGCATCGAGATATAAGTTGTGGCCTTGTCGAAAATAGACTATTTCATCACCCATTTGAGGATAATAGGGAGCTTTACGAGGAATCACCTCTGTAAGCCATTCTGAAGGACGAAAAATTTCAGGTACTTCGGCAATCCCATTAGGTACTGCTACTGCCTAAATAAGTAGTATTTATTCAAATTAATTATCAAATTTTGTATTAACCTGTATAAATAAAACATAAGAATAATTTAAAGTACTTTTTTCCTTAATCGTTGATTCTTTCGTCTTTCTGTATCACTTGGAGGTGTCGGAGATCTTTTTTTGACAGGTCTTCGTTTACTTCTTTTTGGAGGTTCTAAGTTTAATCCATGGTCAGCAATCCAATCAGAATATTCACTACTTGACTCTGATGTTGAGTCCGAACTCATATCTTCTTCATGAGCCGTAGAATCGCTACTGTTGCTACTTACTGAACTTCCTGATACATCTACATTTCTAATATTCTAAACATAAAAAAGTATCTTTATATTTAAAAATTTAAACCAAAAATAACAATGTATAAATGAATGTGTACAAAATAATATAAATTTTTACATTGAAATCTTCATCATTTCGAGCTTCATCTCTTGCAGAACGGGTCCTGTAGCCATGTCTTCTACCACGATTTCGTTTACAGTTACTTGATCGATTGTTTAAATTATCTTGAACAGTAGCAACATTGACGGAAGATTGTGGCCGTTTTTTCATTTCTCTCTTCCAGAGATCTAATTCAGCATCAGCCATACTATGTCTATGAAATTACATGATTATTTGATGCAATTAATTCTAATTGGAAACTAAGAATCGAGCTTTAATACATACAATACATCTAACCGCATTTTAAGCACTGAAGATTTTATAGGCCGTACAAGAATAGGTTTATTCCACGGTGTTGTATTATCGCGTTGCCAATTACCACTACTGTGCCTAACACCTTCAATATTTCCAATACGACGCAAACCTGAACGATTGCCGCGAGGGCTAGAAATTTGTCGAAGCTGTTGTTCACCATTAGTCTCCTCTCTATCATCTACTTCTTCATTATCAACTCCAATGATATTTTGTCTTTGGGCAAGAGCTTCAATAAGTCTATCAATATTTGACCTTGGTTCAGGATCAGGTAGACCTTCAATAACTTCTTGCACTCCTATAAATATTTCTTTATTATTAAAATAAATAATATATATTATCTTATTGTTATTAACTAATGAATTACCTCCCACCCCTACAGCAATATTAGGCACAAGCTGCTCTCCACGACAATTTTCTCGACCGGGAACTAAACGCTGCAATGCAGGTGGATAAGGATTTCCATCAACATCAACTAAGAAAGGAGGAGGCATTAAATGCGGTGCGGTTTGAGTTTGTTCATCTAATACATAGTTATTAGTATCACGAATCAAAGGACGATAATCTGTATGAAAAAATAACTCCTTGGGTATCTGTAAAAATTTATCTGAAGAATAAATATATTCTTGATATTACATAAAATTTTCATATGTAAATTAACTCAATAAACTTACAATTTTCAATTTTTCAACTCCAGCACCAAATCCATACATTAATAAATGACCATGTGAGTCAGTCGCAGCAAGCATGGTTCCATCAGGTGACCATTTGGCATCGAATACAGCACCATTTCCTTGACCTTCTATAAAATTTTGAAAACATGTTATGGGTTCAGAATTGAGCACATCCCAAACAATTAATTGTCCATCATGTCCTGCGCTTAATACAATTCTTGGATCAATTGGATGTGCTTCCAAAACAAATACTTCATCTTTGTGACCACGTAAAATTTTAACTAATCCTCCACTATTAGAATTCCATACTTTTAAAGTACTATCATTTACAGCCGTAATGACCCATTCATCACTAACATCCCAACAGACCATTGTTACTTTTGATTTTTTGTTTGTATCATCAACAATTTCAGGATCTCTAAGTGATTGAAAAAAAAATTTAATTTTCATTCATGTCTATCAACAATTATAACATGTATGATAAAATTATTGTACCCGGGTAATTTAGTGTTCATTAAAAGACGCTTCTGGACCCATTGTTGTTGTTTGAAATTCCAAACAATAGCAGTTCCATCTTTTGAACCTGAAATGAACTTTAAACCTGCATGGGCCCATTGAATACTGTCTACTGTGTCAGAATGTGCTTCAGTCTCAAGAATACGTCGTGGACCTTCATCTCCGAGCATAATGTAAACACGGACATGATGATCTGCTGAACCGGCTGCCATAAAAGCACCTCCAGGACTGAATGATGCACAAATCATTTGGGCTTGTCCAGGTCTCATTTTTTCATGATATTGTATAGGTTTTGACCTAAAATATTAATAATTATTCTACACATAATCTAAATAAGGCCGAACATTCAATTTTACAATAAACTTATTTATTATTTTATTATGCAGACTAATCCTTTAATAATAAAAAAAAAATAATATTCTGAATATATTTATATATATTTATAATACACACTGAAATATAGCTCTTTCATTCATTTTTTGTGTATAAGACCAGAAAGCAACTGAACCATCGGTACTTGTTGATACCAAATAATTTATTCCACTACAAGAGATAGGACAAAAATTCACTGATGTTATCATTCCTGAATGTCCAGATAGAACTGCAACCTAAAAAAAATTGATATACCTTAAAAAAAAGTTTTCTGAAAAAAATGATTTTTTTTACTTACTGGAGACATAGTTTGAAAACACCACACCCTTAATATTTTATCTAAACTTCCTGCTGCTAGCAATGAATTATCAAAGCTCACTGCTATATCCATTATTTCTGAAGAAGCACCTCTGAATGTAGCAAGTAAACGACCATCAATTGCACTCCATACTTTGACAAGTAAATCGTCCGCACCAGTAATAATATATTTGCCACTTCGATCATATAAAACACAATAAACTGCCGATAAGTGCCCTAAAGTATAACGATACAGCTGCATTTTAGAATAAAACTGAGTTGGAATTGCTTCACGCCGATGTAACGGCCCCGAATTTTCTCTTCCTTGTAAAACACGAACTGCAAACAATATGACTTATGAGCTAAATAAAAAATGAATCGTCAACATAATGATTGAAAAATAAACTTACCGATATTATGCAACAAATTACTCGGATGCTCATTGAAAGGCATACCACCAAATCTAGTAGAATAATCGACTATTCTTCGATAATTTTTACTAAAATCTATTTACAAAAAGAAATGGATTGATTTATCACATTCATAAACTAATTTTTATTAATACGTTATACCTTCTTTTCTACGTAAAACTGATTGTCTACCAGTTCCTAGAAGTGATACGAAACCTGGGATGGACGAAGGTACTTCTTTTTCCATTAAAGAACCAATACGACTACATATTTGTAATAAATAGTCGGCGCTGATATGTGGATATTTTTTATCCTAAATGAAATTAAAAAATTTCATAGATAATGATGATTACTCTTATATTATGAATAATTAAGTAATGACTAGAACAATCGTAAATCTAATTATCTACTCTTACCAAATCTTCAAAATTTTGATCATGAAAATTTCCTTTCCAATCAATTCTTTTTGGTAATATCTGTAATAAAATATAAAATAAAAATTTGTAAATGCAGTGCAAGCAGTAGCAATTACATAGAAGTTTCTTTCATAATATAATTGTCATCTTATGATCAAAAATTTATGTCGACAAATATTGAATTATTTGAAGTTTATAAATTAAAACATTCCTAATTTATAAATTTGGATTAAAAATTTTTTACCTTCATAGTTTCCAACTCCTGTTTTAGTACCTGCACATAAAAATAAAATATTCAAGTTATTTTGGGTATCGACTACCATAAATACTAAAAATATTCAATAATTTAATATTTACGTTTGCAGCTTTGGAACATGAACCTCTCTCAAGAAATTTCACAATGAGAAAATATAATTCTGAAAGAATATATAACTCATTTAACTTATAATAATTTTATAAGAAAATAAAATTCATTTTTTCATACCTGTCTCCAATACAGAGTGCATCTTGCGAGTACTTTCTTCCATTTTTATAACTTTAACAGAAATTGCTATATACAAACCTAAAATTCATTCATTTTAAATCAATTATAAAAGATATTAACTATTTAAATTTTATCACAAAAAATATATAAATAAAAATAAGATTTCAATCACCTATGTTTCACTATGCTTAGTAATTATTGGTACAGAATCAATCGTTTTATTCTATTTTAATTGACCTGTCTTACCATTACAAATTTTACTAATTTAAATACGATTTGCAATACTTACATAGAATTTATAAATATAAACTTAATTAAAAAAATATTTTAGTTTCAGCATAGGTAGCCTGATTTGAGAAAAAAAAAAATAATTCACAACTTTTATAGCTGCATGTATTCCACCAACAATATTCATTGTGGAAGTGGTTGAAAATGAATATCCCCACTTTATGATATATATTTGTTGCAGAGAAAAAAAGTAAGAATTCTCGCAAGTCAAAACAAAAAAAACAAAAAATGCAAAAAAAATAAAATCGATCAGATAATATTAACAAAATTATACTTGATTATTGTTTAAAAAACTTTTGCTCATAAGAAGTAATTAAAAAATATTTTATAGAGTAATGCTATTATCTACACTATGTATGTATACATATAATGTATCACAATATCTATAGTTCCATTACCGAGAAAAAAAAGATAGATCCCCACTCTCTTTTCTCTTTCTCTCTCCAACATTGGCTCTCCCCACTTAAAATCAAAGATGTACAATACAGTACCGGACATAAATGCTATGTGATTTTCTATAAGACGGTATAGAAAAATCACATGTATAACCTTTAAAAAATTAAACAGCATTTATGTCCGGTACTGTATAACATTCAAAAAATTATACAGCATTTATGTCCAGTGCTGTACCTATAGAGATGTGAATTTACCGGTAATAGAAAATTCGGTAATTACCACGTAAAATTACCGGTATCTGACGGTATTCTGACGTCAAAAAATTCTGAATGTAAAATTTACCGTCAAGCCGTCGGTCAGCGTAATTACCGTAAATTACCGGTCATTCGCATCTATATAGATGAATATGATGAGCTTTTTACCGAGGAAATGGCTTGCTTTCGAACTTGCTTGCCAATTTGCTTAAGTTAATTTTGCTTTTTGCACTTGTTAATTTAAAACTAATTAATTATTATAAGATGAAAAAAAAATTTTGTAATTTGTAATAAAAAAAATATTTTACATTTTTGACTGTTAGGACAGAAATAATAAATATATTGAAAATTATTATAAACGTTTATTTAGTTAAGTTTTTGGTACATTTTTTTTTATAAAATAGATAATCCTTCGTTATTACATATTATAAAGAATTTGACTTTTTTAACTTTTATGTAAATTATTTATGAAAAAATAAAACCATATAATCTATAGTTTCTATCAACTAGTAATATCACATAATAATTGACATATTTCATTAGGAAATAACAAGTCTAATACTGATTCAATTCCATCAACATCACTAATTAGTCTTGAGTAAATTCTTCTTCTAAAAATTCAACTTCTTCATGCTCAGCACAAATTTCACTTATTTCATCCTCTCCTTTATTACTTTCCTCATCTTCTTCCCATTCTTCTTCTGTATTTTTTGGTGAAGGATTAAGTAATTTTAAATTTCTTGCAATGTATGTTATTTTTCCAGCTCTATCGATACTTAACTTATTTCTTTTAGATGAATGAATCCATCCTTGTGTACTAAAGGAACGCTCGGTTGCAGCTGATGTTGCAGGTAAAGTCAATATAGCCACAGCTATTTTGCTCAACGAAGATTTTTGGCAAATACTTTGCCACCATTGACATGCTGAAGTGATTATACTTGCTCGCTTAACGTAGTCGTAACTCCACATACTTGATTCTGACACATAATCTGTTAAATCTTTTAATACCTTATCACTATTTAGATTTAATTTATCACCAAGATTTATAATTAATTGATGAGCTTCAACCATTTCTGACCTATTTAAATTTTTTCCTTTTAATTGAGGATCAAGTAAGTTAGCTGCATAATGTATGGGCCGTAGAGCCATAGTTTTACGATTTTCTAAACAAGTATAGTTAGGTTGGGTTAGGTTGCAGAGGTAATGCAGAGAAATGTTTATATATTGATTTGTTCTCCCCCATTGCACCAAGTTCTCAATGAAAATCCTTATCTACAAATTGAATTTTCTTATATTAAATATTATCAGTATTTTTAATAAACAAATAAAAATGAAAATATATACCTGATAGAACAAATAAACAGTTGTATGCCGTTGGGAATTCTAAACTGTGATTGGACATGTATTAACCAATCAGAGATCAGCATTTTTCTGACCGGTATGGTAAAACAGGCTTGGTCATTGACGCGTTTTTTACCGGTAATTTACGGTAAATTTACCCGTCAATTACCGATTCACATCTCTACCTCCAAGTAAAGACTATACATGATGCTATATTGTAGTATAGTCGGAGAGTTCCTCATGTGCTTTTGTACGCTTGCGCAGTAGCCAAAAATTTGGCAAAAGGGGTAAGTAATCAGTGGTGGAGAGCCTGAAAGCATTGAAGCAACTGAGGAACTCTTTTCTCAGTCCGACTATATTATATAGATTGTGTTCCAATATTTTTGTATAAATTTTTTTTTTTTTTTTTCGTTTTTGTGATCGCTGGTTTGTAAACATGATTACATTTACTTCTCATTAATATTAATATGTTCTCCTGAATTACTTTATTCAATTAAAAAACAATATTCGATGAATAAAATAGAACAAAAGTTTTATGTTAGCAATAAATTTGATTTGTCAGATTCTATGGAAAAATCTAATATTATTTATGTATAACATTCATACGAACCTTGACTCTTGTTATATATCCCTGTTAATTCTATAAATCCTCAATTCGTCAGTATTTTAACTGTTAAAACTTTTTCTGTTATCTGTATGAAATCAGTGATGTGTCAAACAAGGTTTTGATTGAATTTAAGATATTCTGCTTGTCTTCATCATTTTTAGCTATTATTTTTACATTGGTCACTCTAAGTGTTCTGTAGAGTCATATTTTTCAATTATATGAGTTCGTTTTATTATTAATAACCTAGTATTTATCTCTATTATATTTATAAATTTTTTTCCTTTTTTTTTTTTTTTACACTAATCTATTTTTTTAATCAATTTTTTGCAGTAAAAATGATGCCAAAAATAAATCAATCAGATCCAGTATTGTCTTATATGGATGGAGTTCAAGTAAAAATAGCTGAAGCTTATAAACCACCACGAAAAATAACTCTTCCTATTGCTTATAATAATAACAGTAAACTTCCAGATATTACAAAATATTGTTATGATGTCAATTTAGAAAAATCAGTTTTAAATAAGGTAATTCAAGTGAATAGTTAATTTTTATTATTTTTTTTAAAAAAATCCGTTGATGATCAGATTAAAATTTATTATGATATTCTATTTATTCTTAGTTAAAAGACTGGCGTATGGTTAAGTTGACCCAACATGAATCTTGGCAAACTCGTATGGCGGAAAAAAAAAAAAAGAAGAAAGAGCAGTTGAATAATTCTCCTGTCCATTCAGTACTATCATCCACAGTTAAAATTTCTATTCCTCAAACCACAATACTCATTCCTGAACCTCTATCTTTACAAGCAAAAGGTTTTCATAATGATGATTGCAACGTGAAAATTAATGGGTTAGATTATTCAGATTTTGACAATGACACTAGTAGTCCTTTTGATAATATGGAATTGAAGACCATAAATGAAATGGAAGAGCTTGCACGAGTATGTATAAATTTTTTCAATAATCATATTGAATAACAGTCATTCTAAACGATTTTTAATGATAATTCTTTGATGATCACTAGGTTTTACAGCCGACATCAGCGTGGATACCTTCAACAAGAATAGAAAATATATTAAAAGAATTAAATCTCGAAAGTAAATCAGAAAATCATGGAGATGAACAAATGAATAAACTTAATGTAAGAGAAGACAAAACAGATCGTAATATTTCAAATGGTCAGCAAGAGTTAAATCAACAAAACATTTCTATAATTGTCAAAGAACTACAAAAAGAATTAGATTGCCTTCGCATGAAAGTAAGTTAATTGAAATAGCTTATTTGTTTTAAGAACTTCTAATATTAAGAAAATTGAAAAAAATTAATTTGTTATTAGAATTGGAAGTCTTGGACAGATTTAGAAAGTTCAGAATGTGATACAGATCCAAATTTCAATTGCCTAAATATTAATCCATCAACAGAGTCTACAATATCAGGATTTAGTAATGAACATGAAAAATTAGCCGAACATTTAAGTGATATGGGATTTCCTTTACGTCGTGTCATTCAAGCCATCAATAATCTTGGAGGAGAAGATAAGAAAGTAGTTGAATATCTATTAGCTGTTCAGTATCTTGAGGAATCAGGAATTTCAAGTGATGATGCTGAAAGTGCATTGTCTCTTAACAATTATGACCAAGAAAAAGCAAAAAAATACCATGAAAATTTGTGTACGTTAATGAATTTCGGATTTACTAAAGATAAATCTTCGCAAGCACTTCTTGAATGTGATAATGACCGTGATAAAGCTCTTGATTTGCTATGCACGTAATACTTGATTGTTGCTATTTCTTGTATGATAATTGACAACATAATGGTAGCTTTTTACTATCATTTTTTAAATAATGTTAATAGATTTTAAATATATCTGAATATTGATCACAATCAATATTAAATATTTCATTGATCTTTACCACATACGTCTACACACACGTACTAAAAATATATTATATTTCATTGTTCATAGTTGCTTTTTACATCTTTAGTAAAACATTCCTATTGAAAAAATGTGACATCCGACAGATCTTTGGTACCTTTCCAATGAGAAACAACACATTTTGATAGGAAAAGTATAGAAATTTTAGACTGTCTGAAGAAGTCTAACAGGAAAAAATTAATTTAAATTAGAATTTAGAATGCAGTTAGTAACCCTAAAATATCCAGATTCTTCCTATTAACCAAACTGGGTCGGACAATAACAATTTGAAATGAAATTTCAGGAGGTAATAGAATAGGAAAATTTTTTATAGAAAATTTAGTTCAAGACATAAGTAGAAAAAAGAATTATTAAATAGGATAATATGACATAGGAAATATTTAGCAATTGTATCATATTATAAAAAACATATTGTCGAACTGAGAAAAGAGTCCCTCAGTTGCTACAATGCTTTCGGGCCCCCCACCACTGATTTTCTACCCCTTATACCATGTTTTTTACTACTGCGCAAGCGCACAAGAACACATGAAGAGCATCTGAGGTACTCTCTTCTCAGTCCGACTATAATGATTTAACATGGCGGATTACATTTAGCATGGGCGTTTTAACCAATCATCATGTTCCGAGATGATCACATGATTTACATATAATTTGATTGGGTAATTTTAAATTGATATACAGCTAATTTTAAGTCATACTCTTAAAATTACTATAGTTACATTGAAATGACTATAGTCAATTCTGATTTGTCAACAAAAGTGTAGATGTGATAATAATCGGATTCTGAATTGTTGTTGTTCGCCTAAAAATTGTGAATTTATCGCCAAAAAGTGCATTTTGCAGTGATATCACTGCAAAATGCACTTTGATGATTATATAAAACTAATAATGAAGTTACTTTTAAACAAATATAATAAAATTAAATTATTCTGTTCATATTACCTGAGTGAATATACTGATTAATTACACCTTTGATTGGATTTTTTTCACAGAGAAATCTTGATGATTGCATATAAATCACAGTAATTTAGTACTCAGGTGATATCTTGGCTATAAATAATTTAATGACAATGAGTTGTAATTGATTAACAATAAAATTAATATCATCAAAGCAAAAGAAATATTTATTTAATTTTATTGTTAATCAATTACAACTCATTGTCATTAAATTATTTATAGCCAAGATATCACCTGAGTACTAAATTACTGTGATTTATATACAATCATCAAGATTTCTCTGTGAAAAAAATCCAATCAAAGGTGTAATTAATCAGTATATTCACTCAGGTAATATGAACAGAATAATTTAATTTTGAGCCATTAAATCCCGAATTTTGCCATATCTGAACGTTTTAAGGTCCCCAGAGTCAAATACGATCAGACTCATTTCGTTTATAACAATTCCATTTGTTATAAAGAATGGAAACGGGTTCTATTCGAATTGTTTTTCCATTTTTTCCACTGGGAAGTTGGTCGTGTGGACCTTTCGGGTCGCACCCAGACCACTGATATTTTTTAATTTTTTTTTTCGACTATGATCAATAATCACTTGTTAGTAACAATGTTTAATTGTTATGGACACAATTCCATATTATTGACAATTATTATTGACTATTATAGTGTCTTTAATGCTGTTTTCTCAATCCTGACCCGAGTTTAAAATTCTTTCATTGCTGATTTTGTTTTTTAAAATTTTTTTTTTCGATGAAATATTGTCATCATATTTTCATCCAAGTATTCTAATAATTTAATATTCATATTTTTTGAGAGATTTTGAAATTTTGTCTAAAAAATTGTATAATTTATAAATTTTAAGTTACATAATTACGTGTCGAATGCAATTGGTCCCACATCGATATCATTTTTTGTTCTCGAGATAATCGAGGTGAAAAATAATTCCGAACGCACATACGTCACATTCACATACGTACATACACACACACAGACGTCCACTAGAAAACGATCGTATTCGACTCTGGGGACCTTAAAACGTTTAGATATGGCAAAATTCGGGATTCGCAAAATCGAACCCATTACTATAACACTGGGAAGTGTTTTTATTCCCACTGGGAAGTTAAAATATTCTCTTCGTAGCAAATCTGCAACAAAAAGCTGCAATAAGTATCGCGACATCATTTTGGCAAATAAACAGAGTCAAATATAAAACAAAACGTTTTTTTGAATCTTGTAACCAATTTGAAACTAATTATGAAGCTAGGAATGAGTGATATAAATTAACAAAGACCATGTTGGATGAGTGGAGTAATACTATATATCTGGAGATTAGAATCTTTTGAAGAATTTTTGAATTATTTTAGAATACGAAATACAAAATTGTTTGATTCTTTATATGATATAAATCGTTCAACGGATAAAAACATATTGCGGTTGTCAATACAATAAGTTTATTCTACTGCAGTATTATATTTCTGGAATAAACTTATTAAAGAGCAGAAAAATAGTAATATAGTAGAATGTATTCGGATGACTGTCATAGGATATTTACCAGAAGAATATTAATATATAAAAAAGAACGTACATATTGGAAGATATGCTGCAGTATCAAGGTAAAACATATTCTAATGATACTAGGACAATGGGTTCTAGATTTCTGGATGAAATTGTGAATGAGATGATTAAATATCACAAGTTGGGCTATGTTACAGACATAAATAAATACCGAAATTTATTGAATGAAACATGGCTTAGAATTACAAAATTCATCAAATGCAACGTCATAATTAGAAAATCGAGTCATTCTATACGCAATTTGCTAGCTTTAAAAGAAATAGATGTCCTCAAATTGATTTTCAATGATCTTGAAATTGAAACTGTGAGACATATTTTAGATACAAATTTAGAAGAAATTTTTAAATCTAAAAAAGAAAGAAATGATTTCAAGCGACAAATATTAATCTATCATTTACTAACCTACTTATGGTAAATATTATTGCTAAAATTTTACACAAAAATCGATTTGAAAGTCGATATTCGCTTTCATTTACTGATTTACATACTTAAATTTTCGCGGTTGCTGCTATTTTGAGAAATATTTAGCAAATTTCGAGAGAGCGAGTCCAATGCTGAGTTAAGGCTGGGTCGAAGCAGAGAAGAGAAATAGTATAGAAGAACCATGCAAATGGGAGTACTTGGACGGAAATTTTTAGTTATAGATACGTCCGTGTGATGGCAGGTCACTCGAGAATCGTCCGAATAGCTTCTGGATATAATCAGAGAAGAGAGACCAGTATAGAAGTCCAGTCCTTATGGGAGGTAAAAAATGCAGTCAGCATTTACGAACATAACCGTAAGATGGCACGCTTACCCGGCATCTGGCCGAGATAATATGAAGGGCGGAGCTTTGTTTGGTTCTCCGGTAGTAGGGAACGAAGAAAACCTGTTAATTTACTTATGATTTCTCATTAAATAATAATTACTGTTTTTTAAATAATACAAAACGTAAACTTTATTAAACATAAAATGATTTTACATATCTACTCGGCAACAGCTATGCTCCAACTGCTTCACTCCACTATCTCATCCTCTTACATAGGTGTCGCGCGATACAAATTTAGTACCAACTTAACAAAACCAGAGGAAGCAATTTCCGCAGCCCAGAGATCATATGATATAAGGCTTAAAGCGAAATTGTAAAAAAAATAGAAATGATGGAAATAGTTTCTCTTCGATAGAAAAAAACTTTTTCCGAGTTCTCAAACCCCCGAACGTGAGGAAAATCAGACTTAGATTGAGTAACCGTTTTTATAGCCACTCATTTGTAGGGAATTAAATTCTTTATCAAATAAGATAAATTTTTTTTCATTGTTTATAACAAAAAAAAAGCAAAATAAAATTAAATTACAAAAACAAAGAGAATTTAATCTTTAGGTAATGAGTGGCTATACCAATTATAAAAAAACTCTTATGATAACTTTTTTTTTAATATAAAAGGGGGTTAAAAAATTAAATGAAAGACTTTTTTTTGTTATAAACATTTTTTAAAAAAAAAGAAACAAAAAATATAGTTTATTTAATGGAGAATTTCAATTCTCTACAAATGAGTGGCTATAAAAACGGCCACTTAATCTGAGTCCGATTTCCCTCATATTCGGGAGATTGAGAACTTAGAAAAAAGTTCCAGTGGCATAAGTACGGGTCCAACATTTAATTTTTCATGCCTCTTCTATTTTGAAAAAAATGTTTTTATAAAACTACAATGACAGCAAATATAGCCACTCATTAGCGAAGATTGAATGCTCTTTGTTTTTGTAATTTAATTTTATTTTGCTTTTTTTCTTGTTACAAACATTTTTTTGAGAAACAAAAAATACAGTTTATTTAATGGAAAATTTTAATTCTCTACAAATGAGTGGCTATAAATATGGTTATGATATTTGGCTATACATATGCCTGTAAGGTTGGGGAAAGATTCATTGTTTTTCATCGTATCTAACGAGATCCGAAACTAATTTTATTTCTTGCGCATGAAAGTAGAAATTATGAGGAATAAACTAGTTTATCAGTTCACAATTTTTGATGATGTTCACGCCATGAATACTCTCTCGTAATAAACTATCTGGGATGATAAATGCCTCTGAAAATGTTTACTGTTCATGAGCTGTTTCCAAGCACCGAGGGATTAATTTTTTCGACCTATTACAATTTTCTTATTACTGTGAGTAAGTTGCATTTACTTGTTTTCATGATTAATAATTTTTTACTTATCACGTAAACTAATCCTTCTAGTGTATTATGCGAATATGAATCATTGCATCATTTGTAAAATATATTTGACACCCGAATTTCGTAGTGAGAACATACAACCTATTTAAGGAGATGTCATAAACGATTATAAGCTGCAAAATATTCTAATCCTCTTTACAAGTAGATGCACAGTTTTCTGAGAAACATTTTTTTTTTTACAAATTTTTAAAGCAAGAGCCAGAGAAGATGATGACAGACGATAAGAATACATTTTAAGCCGGCAAACTGTAACGCGTAAAAAATGTCTACACGGAGAGAAATATATAGTAAAAATTGCTATAAATTTGTCGGTAATCTGCATATATCTAATACTCCTATATTGCTAGTTCCCGTAAGTGGGCGCGTGGCCTATGAAGTGAGACAGAAAATGAATATGTCTGTCTCTTTCATGTCAGAGAATTCTCTGTCAGAGAATTGGCAATTGGAGAAGGGCAAGCCACCTCCCTTTCACAACTTAAAATTAAGTTATAGTAAGTAAGTTTGTGTATGCTTCGTAGCTCAGCGGTAGAGATGTGAATCGGTAATTGACGGGTAAATTTACCGTAAATTACCGGTAAAAAACGCGTCAATGACCAAGCCTGTTTTACCATACCGGTCAGAAAAATGCTGATCTCTGATTGGTTAATACATGTCCAATCACAGTTTAGAATTCCCAACGGCATACAACTGTTTATTTGTTCTATCAGGTATATATTTTCATTTTTATTTGTTTATTAAAAATACTGATAATATTTAATATAAGAAAATTCAATTTGTAGATAAAGATTTTCATTGAGAACTTGGTGCAATGGGGGAGAACAAATCAATATATAAACATTTCTCTGCATTACCTCTGCAACCTAACCAAAAATCGTATTCATGTAACTATTGCAAGAAAAAGTATGCAGAAAACATTACTCGCATGCGAAAACATCTTTATAAAGAGTGTAGAAGTTGTCTTCAAGACTTACGGAAACTTTTAAAACCATGTAAACCTCGTAAACGAAATAATTCTCATCTAAACAGCACAGACGACTCATTTACTATTGAAGATTTGAATGAAGCAGACAATAGAGCAAGTACTTCAATGATTTCAAATGAAAATTTACCAAATAATATAAGTGTTTGTAGCAATAACTATAAAAAAAATACAATCGATAGTTTTTGTGATAAAATGTCAAAAAAAGATGAAGATTCTCTACAAGAACTACTTGAAGAAGCGATTTATGCATCTGGTACACCATTATGCCTTATATATTTCTGAAAAAATAGGAAGTGTTATTGATGCTTTGGGAATTAAAAAAGTTATCGGAATTTGTACAGATAATTGTGCTGCAATGAAAAGTGCTTGGACTTTGATAGATCAAAAGTATAATGTCGACAAATTGTATTGTTATGGTTGTGCTGCTCACATTCTTAACCTACTCATGAAAGATATTGGTAGTCAAGCAACTGTTGAAACTTTGGTGACAAGTGCAACAGCTATTGTAAAAGGAATAAAAGAAGTACAAATAATGTCAGCGATTTTCAAAGAAATTCAATCTCAAGATGAACGTAGAGTATTTATTACCTTAAAATTACCAGCTAAGACAAGATTTGGATCTACTATAATTATGATTGACAGTCTTTGTGTTAATAAGCATAATCTTCAGGCTTTAGCAATTTCTTCAAAGGCTATTACATTATGGAAACCTGCTTCTCGTGCTCTTGTACTAAATGAAGAATTTTGGAATAATCTTCAACAAATTCTTCAATTGATGAAACCGATTGTAAAGTGGATAAATGTTTTAGAGGGTGATAACCCTTTAATAAATAAAGTACCTGAATGTTTTTATGATTTATATAATCATTTTAATAATGCATTTAATAATATTGGAAATATTTTTTCGGAAGAAGAAAAGCTGAGCATATATACTTGTTTAGAAAATCGTAAAACTATGGCTCTACGGCCCATACATTATGCAGCTAACTTACTTGATCCTCAATTAAAAGGAAAAAATTTAAATAGGTCAGAAATGGTTGAAGCTCATCAATTAATTATAAATCTTGGTGATAAATTAAATCTAAATAGTGATAAGGTATTAAAAGATTTAACAGATTATGTGTCAGAATCAAGTATGTGGAGTTACGACTACGTTAAGCGAGCAAGTATAATCACTTCAGCATGTCAATGGTGGCAAAGTATTTGCCAAAAATCTTCGTTGAGCAAAATAGCTGTGGCTATATTGACTTTACCTGCAACATCAGCTGCAACCGAGCGTTCCTTTAGTACACAAGGATGGATTCATTCATCTAAAAGAAATAAGTTAAGTATCGATAGAGCTGGAAAAATAACATACATTGCAAGAAATTTAAAATTACTTAATCCTTCACCAAAAAATACAGAAGAAGAATGGGAAGAAGATGAGGAAAGTAATAAAGGAGAGGATGAAATAAGTGAAATTTGTGCTGAGCATGAAGAAGTTGAATTTTTAGAAGAAGAATTTACTCAAGACTAATTAGTGATGTTGATGGAATTGAATCAGTATTAGACTTGTTATTTCCTAATGAAATATGTCAATTATTATGTGATATTACTAGTTGATAGAAACTATAGATTATATGGTTTTATTTTTTCATAAATAATTTACATAAAAGTTAAAAAAGTCAAATTCTTTATAATATGTAATAACGAAGGATTATCTATTTTATAAAAAAAAATGTACCAAAAACTTAACTAAATAAACGTTTATAATAATTTTCAATATATTTATTATTTCTGTCCTAACAGTCAAAAATGTAAAATATTTTTTTTATTACAAATTACAAAATTTTTTTTTCATCTTATAATAATTAATTAGTTTTAAATTAACAAGTGCAAAAAGCAAAATTAACTTAAGCAAATTGGCAAGCAAGTTCGAAAGCAAGCCATTTCCTCGGTAAAAAGCTCATCATATTCATCTATATAGATGCGAATGACCGGTAATTTACGGTAATTACGCTGACCGACGGCTTGACGGTAAATTTTACATTCAGAATTTTTTGACGTCAGAATACCGTCAGATACCGGTAATTTTACGTGGTAATTACCGAATTTTCTATTACCGGTAAATTCACATCTCTACTCAGCGGTAAAGCAAAGAATACAGACCCATAGAAGCCCAGGGCAATAGGATTTAATGTCGCAGTAGAACGCTCAGTACTAACTGCGACCACAGATGTCGCAGCAGTCCAAATGAGTAGGCTGCAGATGGAATGGCCAGCAGTCGTTGACCAAACGTCAACCGAACCAGTACTGAGTCAGTATATAGATGAATGTTTGAATTTTTAGGTGATTTAGATAGCAGAAAACAATAATAACATGGATGAAAAAATTCATTAAAAAAACAACTAGGTAAACAATGAATCAGAGCCAGGTTACATATCCGAAAATTTTCGAATATTTCCAATTAGCATATCGCATTTTAAATAATGCAAATTTTGAATAAATGACAATGGAACATGATTTTTTCATCGTTCATAATTGAGAATTTTTTTTAATATCAACATTGAAAGATAAAAAATGGCAAAATTATAAATATAAGTCTGATGAAGAATTCTGTATGATTAAAATATCGAAAAGCCGCGAATCAAGCTCGCGGGAAAATATAAGAGCGTCCATTTAAGAGAAGAAGGTGCTTGAAACATAGCTTTTCCATCTTTTAAAATCAATTACTTTCTCAATTTTTAAGATTAAGGAATAAAAATTAACAGGATAATACAGAACAGTCAAATGTATAATTCTGTATAATTAAATTATCGAAAAGCCGCGAATCAAGCTCGCGGGCAATTATGAGAGCGTCCATTTTGGGGAAAAAGGTGCTTAAAACATAGCTTTTTCATCTTTTAAAATCAATTACTTTGTCAATTATTAAGATTAACGAATAAAAATTAGCAGGATAGTACAAAATAGTATAATGTATAATTCTGTACCATCGAAATAATGAAAAGCCGCGAATCAAGCTCGCGGGCAATTATGAGAGCGTCCATTTTGGGGAAAAAGGTGCTTAAAACATAACTTTTCCAACTTTTAAAATTAATTACTTTCTCAATTTTTAAGATTAAGGAATGAAAATTAGCAGGATAATACAAAATAGTATAATGTATAATTTTGCATAATTAAATTATCGAAAAGCCGCGAATCAAGGTCGCGGGCAATTATAAGAGCGTCCATTTCAGAAAAATAGGTGCTCAAAACATAGCTTTTTCATCTTTTAAAATTAATTACTTTGCCAATATCAAGATTAAGGCGTAAAAATTGGCAGAATTATACAGAACAGTGTGATGTATTATTCTGTATAACATTATTTTAGAAATTATTATTTTTCACATATAGAATAATAATACCATAGCAACTATGGTAGTTTATGACTTAATTGAGGTTTGGTTTAGGACGAGCGGCAATACGTTTGAGTTTATTTCCTGTTCTCGATGTGAAAATACTTTTCCAGCTTACAATTTTTTTTACTGAAAACGTTGAGCATGACATAAAATATTTTCGGTCATTCTTTCCTCTACTGATTTAGTCACCTTTCGCACATGATGTTTCCAATAACTTTCCAAATTATTAAGATTAAGGAGTAAAAATTGGCAGAATTATACAAAATAGTTTAATGTATAATTCTGCATAATTAAAATAATGAAAAGCCGCGAATCAAGCTCGCGGGCAATTATAAGAGCGTCCATTCTGAGAGAAAAAGGTGCTTAAAACATAACGTTTTTTACGTAATTTCATGGAATGTAATGTAGTTTACTACTTAATGTTTTTGTTAGGTATTAGATCTTGTCTACTATGCTTGTTAAAAATTTCACTTTTATGATAGTGTTGACTACAACTCGCTCGACCGTTGCTGCCGTATTATCACTCTGTATTCGTTTATGACATTATTGAGGTGTGGATTAGGACGGCGGATGACACGTTTTCGTTTTTCCGTGCTCTCGATATTGGAATACTTTCCTTGGAGAACCGTTTTTTTTTAATGAAACGTGTTAAGCAGTAAATGAACTATATTTGGTCAGTTCTCCCTCCGGTAAAATTATTAACGAATGGAATGCACCAATTTTTCTAGCATCCACCTATTTTTCTCCCATCGGCTGGTTTTCTGAATATTCTATCAACTCCCCCTTAAAAATGTTCGTTCTATTTTCCAGAAAAATTCAGTTGCATTTCGGCTTTGGTTGATTTCGCAGCTTCCTCAACGATTTACGTTGGCTCTCTTTGTTGCTATTCTCTGCTACGTGCTTAATAATAATCTTTTCTGTGCTCATAGTGCATTTTCAGGATTTCCGGTTATCATTTACCCAGTGATATTTGCAAGATAGTGTTTAGTTCCACTACTTACTACACATTCTGGTGTATTTTTGATAATTTTTTAGGTTTTGATTTATTTCTTAGTGCTTTGTTTCTTATCACAATGGTGCAAAGTTCCACGAAGTGCGTTTATAGTGGTTGTGGAAACTCAAAGAAAAATCATCCACATTTAACATTTCATCGTTTTCCAGACAACTCTATCATGTGAGTATTGTTTTTCTCTTCTCAAGAATGTTACGTCTATAAATTCTAATCATCTCAAGCAGAATTAATTTTAGTTTCCATTATTCTTAGTAGCCATTAGGAAACACACTGTCGTCAGACTTACGTATGTTGCTGTCTTTTGGTTTCTCAACGTAAGATCAACGTTAAACATCATATGCTGCTGCAGAAAGGAAGCAGAATTACGTAAGGCTGTCGAAAATTCTGACGTCTGATCTTGACTACTAGGGCTGTTTCTACTTCAATAACATTTTTGTATTTTTTTATTTAAACAGGAGTAAGTGTTGGATTGAACGATGTGGCAATTCCAATCTCGCAACTCTGGAGCTCAAAAAGTTGCGCACCCGCCGAATCTGCTCCACGCATTTTGAAGACAGTGATTTTAAACCTGGCCCTCGAAGATTGCTGTTTCCGGAATCTGTTCCAAAAATTGTAGACAATGTAAGTAATGCTGCAAATATTACTCTAGGAAGTATTAGCGTTGATTTGCGGGAAGAGTTCTATGAAGAAAATGCAGAATCGATTCCGAAGAGTTCCAATCCGTTAATAAAAAAATATAAATTAATTATTACGCGGCAAAAAAAGAAGATCAATTCTTTACGTCGTCAAATTTCAAGATTGAAAAAATCGCGAACCCATTTTTCACTCAAATCAGCCAAAAAGTATTTTAATTTTGCTGCTCCCCGAATTTTTACAAATAATAAGCAGCTATGCTTTATTAACATGCAGGTAAATCATTTAAAATCACGTAAATGGACCGAAGAAGAAAAGCAAATTGCTTTCTCCATTTACCAACGCGGGCCCAAAGCGTATAGATTTTTGCGCGATGAATTAAATATTACCCTTCCGTGCTTGACCCTAATTCATACGTGGCTGAACAATATTGACGTTACTACTGGATTCGATCCTGCATTTTTTTCTCTACTCCGTAAGAAAGTCGAAAGTATGAGTGAAAATGAACGTGAATGTGTTTTGATGTGGGATGGAATGGCCATAAAAGAATCATTAGAATTTGATATCAAAAAAGACTTTGTGCACGGTGTTTAAAAAATAGCTGGTTTTATTGAAAATAATAACGATAATACTAAATTAATACAAAACGTGGCCTCTCTGGAGGGTACATCAATGTAGTGGTAATATTAATGCTAATGAGATAAATAACGTAAAGAATGATATTAAGCTACTATTACAATGCTAAAACAATCACAAGTTTATCAGGTTATCTAGAAATTTTAATCTCGATAATTTAATATAGTAAATATTTGATCTCTATGGTGGAGATGAGGGAATCAGGGGTGATACGCGAATCGATGAGAGTTGAGCAGCACGGAGTCCAACGATGGTTCTGGAGGTGGTGACGGATGGATCAGCGTTTAATTTGATGTGATTTGATTTGACTTGATTTGACTGAAAGAAAAAGAATGAAGATGCAATTCTGTCAGACTTGGATCGGACAGATCAAGATTGCTGAAGGATGTAGGAGCATCGCTTCGAAGGTTCGAAATCGTTGGTGCACAAGGAATAAGAGTGATCTGCATAGAGATCTCTGTAGAAGCCCTTTGTCTGCGTGGAGACTCTTCTACAGAACGAATAATCAAGGAAGCATATAGATCCCTGTAGAAGCACTTAGTCTGCATGGAGACCCTTCTACGGAACTAATAGCGGATTGATCTGCGTGGAGATCTCTGCAGAAGCACTTAGTCTCTGTGGAGACTCTTCTGCAGAACTTATGAATGGATTGTTAACAAACTCTTACTTTGACTGAAGATGGTTTGCTGCAGAATCCTCAACGAAGAACCTGGATCAGCTGATGAGTGGTTATCGGGAATTCCCAGTTGACGATGATAACAGCAACCTGGACCACGTCGTGGGAAGATGGTAATCAGCTTTCAGGTAGTTCCAGAAGAAGCTCGATCGCAAGGCAGAAGGTGTCACAGACGTATCGCAGGAACAACTCACTTCACACAATACCCAGAACAACGACAATTCAACGATAGACTGAAAAAGCAAAGTCCGCGATCCCCCAACGAAAGCGAAAAGGAATCTGTGCAAGATCAAGAAGGACTGGCCCTTGTCTTCCTTGATTTTTGTAGCTCTTCCTCAAGGAGGGAGAACATGGGCGTGGTGGGGTGAGATAAGCATTGGGTGGGTGAAGGAGGTGGAAAGGATTTTCTCACGCCAGCGATAATAAAAAAAAGGTTGGGAAAATCCTTTCGCCAGATTTTGGATTTGAAGTTTTATTGGAAATTTCCCTTTCAATTTTTTCCTTGGTTTTATTGCCAGGACATCTGGAAGGGTTTCGGGGACTCAACATGTGGCTCGCTCATATAAATTTTTGAAACTCGTAATTTTTAATATACGAGCCATTTTTTATTATTCAACACACGGGTACGTAGATTTAGGTTCATTAGGTCGCACTAATGATGTTGCAAAATTAACCTTAGTTTTTATGTTACGCGGATTAACTTCATCGTGGAAGCAACCGAGAGCTATTTTTTTTTCGCGTGAGAATGTCAAAGGTAATATCTTGAAATACCTTGTAAATGAATGTATTGAAAATGTATTTTCGATCGGTTTAAAAATTAAATTCATGGTATGCGATCAAGCACAGACCAATTGCAGTGTGTTCAAATCATTAGGGATATCATTAGATAAATTTTATTATGAGTGGAATGATGAGAGAATCTACTGCGGCTATGATAGTCCACATATGTGGAAGTGTTTCCGTAATTTATTATATAAACACGATTTTATTTTAAATGGAGAGATTATTTCATGGGGTGCAATTCGTGAATTATTTGATATCGAAAAATACAACGTCGCGAGAGCATATCATAAATTAACTAGTCGTCATCTGGATCCGGGCCCGATGGAAAAAATGAGTGTGAAATTAGCGACACAGGTTTTCAGCCATACAGTAGCGTCAGACTTGAAAGCTGGCTATTGTACTGGCGAATTGAAACATCCCGCATGTAAAGCTACCGTGGAATTTATTGAGAGAATGAATTGTATAATTGATTGTATGAATGCGAAAAGTATATGTGATAATAATATGTATCGTGCCGGGTTATGCAAATTGCGTGATTTCGTCGAAAGATACTTGATAAGTTCGTGTGAATGGCTTTCAAGTTTATCTCTGGCTAACGCTGCCAAAGCTCCTCCCTCTTTTACCAATATGATAATTACAATTAATAGTACCTTAGAGCTTTGGAAAGAATTACAAAATCGTAATGTAGAATATTTAATGACAGCTAATTTACAGCAGGATCCATTAGAGAATTTATTTGGATATTGGCGTGGATCCTGCGGAAATAATTCAAATCCATCAGCAAAAAGAGTGATGAGCTGTGCGCAACGATCTATGGTATATAACGTTGGTAAAGCTCCTGAAGGAGCGAATTGCGAAGAAGATAAAAACGAATTGTTGTTAAAAAATACAAGTATCGATACGCCGGTAGAACTGAATGATAATAATAGATTTATTGTGGCCAATAGTGATGTAATTTGTTCTGATATGCTTTGCGATAATGAAGTCTTCAATGATACTAAGCGCGATGAATTGTAGATTTATTAGGATTTTCATTAGAATTGTGTGTTATACGATATATTGCGGGATATCTTGCTTATCGCCTGTATAAGCAGCAAAAGCGTGAATTATCTGAAATTGATAGAGACAATAAGATTAAGAAGTGTAGTTGTACAGTTCGTCTAATTAAAGACAACAGCGATCTGGAGGTGGCATCAGAAATTTTAATCAATATGAAGGCGTATAGCACTATTAACGATAAAGAATTAGGAAACCTTAAAGCACCCGATGACCAATTTTTCGCGATAATAAATTACGGATGCATGATGTTTAAAAACATAATAATACCTGCGTTTTACAGGAAACAACCGCGAACAAAATTTGTTAGAATCTTCAATCAGTGGGTCATAAAAAATCATAAAGGATGGATGGATGAGTTCTGCTCAAAACATTATGAATTTATAGTGAATGTTTTTAGCAGAATGATGATATTTTATAACTTAAAATGGCTGTCAGCGGAAATGCGTGAATGTTCAAAGCACAAGCGATCAAATAGCACATACGAAAAAAATCAAAAATTGAAAAAACTGAGGAATGAATGAGAAAAATAGTAAGAGTAGAAGTAGGTAAAATATTGTAGTAAGAAAGCATACATAATTGCAGCAAAATGAAAATGAAGTGAACACGCAATCCTTCCAGTCGCGAAATTCCAATCATCGTTATGGAACATGGACTATACCTACAGGGGAAACCATGAAAAAAAAAATGCACCTATCATTCTACCTCATGGGTGGTGCGGAAAAGAATGAAAATGATATAAATATAATTCGCGGCTTTTCATTATTTTAATCATAAAGAATTATACATCAGAGTGTCATTCATAATTCTGCGGATTTTTATTTTTTAATCTTGATAATTGAAGTAGTTATAAATTTTAAAAGATGGAAAAGTTATGTTTTAAGCACCTTTTTCCCCAAAATGGACGCTCTCATAATTGCCCGCGAGCTTGATTCGCGGCTTTTCATTATTTTAATCATACAGAATTACACATTTGACTGTTCTGTATTATTATGCTAATTTTCATTCGTTAATCTTGATAATTGACAAAGTAATCGATTTTAAAAGATGAAAAAGCTATGTTTTAAGCACTTTGTCCCTTACAATGGACGCTCTTATAATTGCCCGCGACCTTGATTCGCGGCTTTTCGATATTTTAATTATGCAGAATTATACATTATACTATTTTGTACTATCCTGCTAATTTTCATTCCTTAATCTTAAAAATTGAGAAAGTAATTAATTTTAAAAGATGGAAAAGTTATGTTTTGAGCACCTTTTCCCCCAAAATGGACGCTCTCATATTTTCCCGCGAGCTTGATTCGCGGCTTTTCATTATTTTAATCATACAGAATTCTACATCAGACTTATATTTATAATTTTGCCATTTTTTATCTTTCAATGTTGATATTAAAAAAAATTCTCAATTATGAACGATGAAAAAATCATGTTTCATTGTCATTTATTCGAAATTTGCATTATTTAAAATTCGATATGCTAATTGGAAATATTCGAGAATTTCGGATATGTAACCTGGCTCTGATTCATTGTTTACCTAGTTGTTTTTTTAATGAATTTTTTCATCCATGTTATTATTGTTTTCTGCTATCTAAATCACCTAAAAATTCAAACATTCATCTACATACTGACTCAGTACTGGTTCGGTTGACGTTTGGTCAACGACTGCTGGCCATTCCATCTGCAGCCTACTCATTTGGACTGCTGCGACATTTGTGGTCGCAGTTAGTACTGAGCGTTCTACTGCGACATTAAATCCTATTGCCCTGGGCTTCTATGGGTCTGTATTCTTTGGGTAAAGCTCCCGACTCCGGCAGTGAGTCTCGGGTGTTCAAATCTTCTCCTTCATTCTTTTCTTTTATCTATTATTATTATTAGTAGAATAACTTCAATTAATAATTGTTCAAACATGTATAATAATTAAATCATTTATATATAATAATTGAATATCTAATTTCAAAGGTATTTCTATATATTATTTCTTTGTAAATAAATTTATAATAAATAAAATAATCTAAACTTATAAGAACAAATTAATTTTTATTGTTCAATAATTGTAATTCAATTCGATGACTATAAATAATATTTTTAAATACCAGTACAAATTATATTGTTTTATAAAAATTACAATTGAAAGTTTTTGGAGAATTGAAATTTTGAAGTCTTTTCCCCAAGCTGCCCCAACTCTTTGAGTTTGACACAACATCCACAGTAATAGAATCACATGTAATAAATGCGAAAAATAATAATTAAGTCAATTATTGTTCCTTTAAATTATTATTTTTGTATTAGATTTTACAAACTACATACTAATCACTTTTGTACATCACCACAATAGTTGACATTGCTCTTCTATTTTTTAATTATATATAAATGTGATGATGATAAATAAATATTCATGATTATTAATTTAAAAAAAAATTTTTTTCCTGTCTATATTTTAATGACAATTATTATACACTAAATACAATTAAAATGTGATAATGATAATTATACATAGTATACAAGCTATTGGATTTTAAATATCTTTATTTAATAATTTTAAAGTTTACTGTATAAAAGATGTAGCATTCATGAGCTCTGAAATTAATTTTAAACAATTTACAAATAGAAATGTTTTTTTTCTTTGTTAATGAAAAAAGATTTTATTTCATTTTTTTAAAATGAAGTTTGCATATTCTACTTCTTATAAGCACCTTCATTCAAATGAACAACATATTTGAAACAGGCATTTTAGAAAAAATGGGGAATTGATGAAAGGATATAAGGAAATAAAAAACTAAGATAAAAAAAATAATATTTAACAATAAATAATTTATTATTTACACATACCAGTATACCAAATTATACATTATTAAACTTATTGGTGTTTAAATAATACGAGTTTTGTATATTTTTGTCTTATACAATGATCCTTCTCGGACATTTTTTTGGCTTCATAATGTAACCGAGTATTTAAATATAATTCGATAACGTATTTGCAAAGTTGCGATCGATGATTATCCAAAATATCTTGTGATAAAATGTGTTCATTCATGATTTTATTGTCAAATTGCATCCCTATGTTGTTAAATATTTTATTTATTAAAAATTGTTTAATTGAAGGTTTACTTATTTCCGATTGATATTTTCTGATAATCTGTTCGCAAACTTTGCCAATAGCCATTACATCCTTTGATGGTGTTATATATGGTCCGCGATTTTTTATTTGCGATAATAAAGGCATTGTGCCTTTAGTAGCGTCGCCTTTTAATTGTATAATACAAACTTGACATTTTACAATTTTTTTTGTTAATTTATATGCAATAAATCCGGAAATATATAATACAACGTTTTCAACAAAAGCTGATAATTCCCAATTTATTTGTACACGTAAATATTTATAAATATAATAATTATTATTAACATTGAATTGATTCTGAAATGGCTTTGAAATTAAATATAAATAAAAAATTTCAATATTTAAATACTATAATTATTAATGAAGTCAATTAAAATATATAAAAAATTGGATGTAGCATGTAAAACAGACGCTACTTCATATGCAAAATGACGCTATTCTATTTGCAAGGGATGCTATCTCATTTCTTGTACAAATTGAAATGCTATCTAATGCGCACGCTCCATTCACGATCATGCACACAAGTCGCAGCGTATAATAAGTGAGACAAACGGATATATGTCTGCACCGTAATGTTTAAGTCTCTCTCCCTATACCGACTAGCAATATAGGAGTATTACATATATGGTAATCTGGTGACATCTCAGCGTTATAGTAAAAATTACTACACTGCATAGTAAAATTTCCTATACTGCGAAAATTTACTGCGCCATCTAACGGTAGCGCGCGAATTAAAATAAAAAATAATAGTTTTTATTAATTTTATTACTTAAAAATAGTATTTTAGGAATGAAGCCCAAAAAAATTCACAAAATTAATGGAATATAAATTATTTATTTTTTTAGAAAATGATCCTATAAATAAATACTTTAATATGAATGAAAATTCTATTTTTGTTACATCCAAATTTTAACAAAGTATTTTCTACCATCATAAATTGTTACTTCATGTGTTATTTTACTGCTAAAAAAATCATCTCCATCCAATATTTCACGGGTGCACTTATAACTATAAATCTGATACGCATTTAATTTATTATCATAAAAAATATCATTATAATTTTTAACTAATACGAAAACTTTGTCATTGTATATAATAATTAAAGTTATCTTATAAAATAATGGGCCATCTTCGGATGGTATCATCACAATATCATTAATTTCAATTTTATTTCCTTCAATTATAAAATAATCGGTGACAGGAATTTGTGTGCAGCTTTTTATTTCATTTGGCAGTATTTAAGAAAATTCGCACAATGCATTCAAGTTGTCTCTAACTTCAATTTTAATCAAAGAATAATCGAAACAAATCACATGAATTATCATTATTATTTTTTAAAAGTCTGTTATTTAAAATCATATGATGTTTAATTGCTATTGTACGACATACATTGATACGATTTAATGAAGTTTTTGAAGTCATTTTTGCTTCTCTATGTTTGCTCTCGAACCTTATTGATGACATATTTGCAAAAGGTCCAGATGTTTTGAAAACAGTTGGATAATGTACGAGAAAATGATGTTTAGGTTTTAATGAATTTGGGTAAAGTTTTGAAAGTGATTGTAAATATTCTCCAAACACAACTCTAATATGATCTTGTGAATCATTAGAAAGATTTTTAGCTGTTGCTATTTCTACAATTTTTTGGAGTTGTAATATCAAACACCATAACTCACTATTATGGAGAAAAAATTGACATAAAATCAGTGGTAAATAGCGAATTAAACACAGCATTTCTGCGCCAGTCATTTTTAAATGTTTCGCTTTTATTTGTGTATCAAGAATTTCTGGAGGTATATTTTTGTGAGGCCCAAAATCGAATCCTTTTATCAAATGATTTAAATTATCTAATGTAACATATTTTTTAATTTTAATTATATCATTGAAAACTAATCCAAGATCATACTGACAAATGACTTCAAGTATATCATGTAAAACATCAACTGATAAATTTTTTGTGACATGAAAACCATCTAAATTATGAAAAATGCATGGCTCAACTATTCCTGTACTTTTTGGATTATTTTCCTCTAAATCAGATTTATAATTTTTTTCATTACGCATTAGATTTTTAATTTCAAAGTATTCATTTTAAATGTCTTCGAGTTTAATTTGACAGAATCTACAAAAATGAGATGATCTAAAACTTGTAGTGAATCCAAAAATTTCGTGTAATCCTAAATTGTCGCCCAAAAACAATGCCATTTTAAAGTATACTTGTGTCTTATTATTTTCCAGCTGAATTTCTATACCTTCTTTTTCTAGAAAATTAAGTTCATCTAAAACTTTTGCAAAAATAATTGAATTTTTAATTACTTTTCTGTCTAATGAATTGAATAAGATAAACAAAAAAATATTATTAATTTTTGAGGCAAGATGTGGTGGTAAAGATGGTAAGCTCAAATATACAGCTCCACATTTAGAAAGACCCTTATGAGAAGACAATGGATTATTGGTTTCATAATCATCAAAGTATAAATTAATTGGAAGAATAATCTTTTCCTGGAAATCCTTTGACAAATTTTTCCATAAATCTGTCTGTATTAAATTTGAAATGATTCTATTATCATTTAATCCAGAAATATAATCCATTGTCTCTGAAAAAATATGTGGCATTTCAAAAAACTTCTTTAAAACGTAACGTACAGGAATAAATTGAGCATACACTTCTTTCATTACCATTTCTTTAGTATTTTTTTTTAAATTCTTGAACTTCTCCAATAAGGTATTCTTTTGGTTCTATATATGTACCTATTTTTTTAAATATTTGAAAAATGTTGAATTTGGTATACGTATCTGTATCATATTGTTTCTCTATATCAAAAAACAATTCATCAATTTTTTTTCTAACATCTTTCTCTACTGATTCGTTAATAGCTATAAAGACTTCTGTTTTTATTTTTGCTAAAATACTTGTAATTAACGTTGTCGTATCTTTAATAATTTCTATGGCTCTATTACGGGGCAGAGCTACTATAGCGAATAATTTTGCAGCAAAAAATACAAAATCTCTATTGTTAACATTTTTAAAGTTTGTTTTCTCATTTCTATCAGTTGATGTTATGTTAGATACAGTAGAAATGTCAATACTCTCAACATTTGAATGATCAATAAAACTAGGATTTTCAGTACAGTGATTATTTGAAAATACACAATTCGAATTATCTTTTAAAATATTGGGTACCTCAACATTTAAAATATTAGAATTATGGCAGGTAGAAATAAAAACTTTTTTCTTTTTTGTTTGATTGTTACAGACTGTATTCCTCTCAAAATTAAGATTATGTTTGAAATTAGTGTGTTTGCGAAGTGAATTTAATGATGAAAAAATTCTCGTACATTTCTTCTCACCACATTTAAATTTACTTAAATTTTTATGAAAAATAGAGACATGTCTTATATAGCTTGATGTGGTTTCAAAGTGTTCATTACATTGAAGACAAAAAAACATTTTAGCTGAATCGAATAAAAAAAGCGGTAAAAATTTATATTGCAAAATTTGATTCAATGATATATTCAAACTTTCGGATAGTATTAGTTATTTCAAAATTTTTATAAAAACGTCCAAAAATAGAAATAAATTAAAATGTCATCACTTAGATATGATTACTGATCAAATGACTTTTAAAATAATGATATTAGTCAAATAATTTGCCATTTGGGGGTACACACTTTCCGTTGATTTTGTTGAATGGAGAGTAATATAATGAAACATTTTCTGATGGAAAGAAGTCGACTATTTGATAAGCTATCTCCTTAAATCTGGAAACTTGAATCCTGTTGTAAAAGAAAAATTGTTAATTTGACAGTTACTAAAATTATCATTATAATTAATATCATCAAAATGATGTAAATACCTGAACGAAGAAAAGGATCTTGATAGCTGATTATCGTTTACTAAATTTGAAGAAAAATGGTCCTCAAATTTGAATTTTATAATCATTTGACACAGTAGGTTTCTCAAATAGTTTACTAGACTATTATGGGTCAAATAATATTCAACTACGGCTATTCTTTCAGGTGTATTTCAAATACGTTGATAAATTGGCTGAAAAAGTGGAGGATGAAACTAATACGAACTACTTTTAACTTTTTACAAAAATACCAGATCAGTTAAAAAAATATGTATATAGATAAATAAAATGTTTTCATTAAGTAAATTGATAACGTCATCACAAAGCTGTACAAAAATTGAAACTTTTTGTCCATTATAACGTTTATGTGAAACATTTGTAGAAATTCATTTAAGCTTTTTGATAATGTTTATTAACTATATCAAAGAATTTTATATATATTAATTAACATTTCTTTTTTAAGAAAAAACTGTTCATTCATTCTCCACTGATAATAAATGCTTTACCATTAGGACCTCGATATTGCCTTCCTCCACTGCAAATAAAATATTATTATCATGCATTACATTTTTATCAATAATACCAAATTAAATAACAAAGTACCATCCTTAAAGAAACATCATTCAAAGTCAACAAATAAATACTGAGTTAAATCAGAATTGTCATGTAAACGAAACACACATTCACCATTGCATTACAAAAAAAACTCACAATTTTCAATTATCACTAATGAATTAAACAATAGAATATAATTGAATAGAAAATAAACACATAGATATTTAAATTATAATTAATAAGGATATTTTCTTCATAAAAATATTCTGCTGAAAATCGACTTACATCTATGCATCAGTTCAACACATGTTTGATGACAAAGAAAACGTCTTTTTACAGGAGAGACATATCACAGATGATATTTAGTTATTTAATGACAATATAAGGGAATTATTTTATGTAATTTAATTTTTAAAAATTCGTGCTTACTTATTTGAATAATAATTTCTGATTGTTAACCGTCGAAAAAATTTATTATTTACATGCTTTAAGGCTGGGCTGAAGTCAGAAAGGCGACTGATTCCCCCTATCCAAATACATGGGATCGGGAAATTTCTAATTTCTTCGCCAATTTACAATTATTTCTATAAAATTAGGTACCAAATTACAGAGGAATTAATGCCGGACTGACGTAAACAACAATTTTTTGTATATAGTGAATATTTTTATTAAAAAAATTAGAAAGAATAATGAAAAAATTATGAATTGACTTACCGCGCTTAAATTTCAAGATGGCGGCCACATCATTCAGATGAAAAATCACTAATTATTTCATTTTTATACGTTTTTCGCCCAAAATTCGTGTTTGCGTCAGTCCTTGCCACCTGTCTGAATGTTAAAAAAATCAATTCATAGTATAAAATTGAATAATTTAGAAATAATTAGAAATCTTGTATTCCAGATGACATTCTCTGGAAAATTAGTTTGAAAAAATTCTGATAGGTGACAGCATTATGCTCGCAGATGACCTCAGTCATCCATATTGAAAAAATGCTCAATCCGTATCCAGAACTGATGGTGCCCTGCATTTTGGCGAGTAAATTCTGTATGTGTGTGTACGGGTAATATATGTATGTGATGTAAACATAGTGTATCACTTTACAATGCCCTACACTTTGATGACTATTGCAGTTAGGATAAAAAAAAATGATGATACTCATTTAACATTAATTAATATAATACCTGCAAATAACTTCAAATACATATATTCATCCATTATTATCATTTTTATTAGGTATAAATGTTAATAAGGAAGCTCAATTCCAAGTCGGCGTATCCAAGCATGTAGTATAAAAACAAATATACATTAACTCTATATCGAGATTATGCTGGCCATGTGGTTAGGGCGTCAGAGTTCTATTTTGCCGGGCAGGGTTCGATCCCCAGTCATAACCAATTTTTTTTTTCTACTTTATTCGTTAGATTAGCATGTAATTATAATATTGACATGCTATAATTAATCTTTTATAACAATTTGATTTTTTTTTCTCTTTATTCATTGAATTTATTGACGCTAAGTCGAAAAATATTTGAACAGAGCCATAAACTTTCTTTTTGTATAAATACATTGATAATAGCCTGTGTTTAACAACTTATACATCTTTACATGTATTAACAATGTTATGTTATTAACAAGTTAATCATATTATTATCAACATTGAAAAGTAGTTTAAACAATCCGTGGCGAGTTCCGGCACTTCGCTGGCAAGCTCTACCCCCCACTCTCTATGCCCAAGCCTGCAGCTTATAATTTTTGAGCATATATAAATGTTTTGTAATCATAATAGCTCGGTGGTTAGCGCATCGGTCTTTCATTTTGATGGGCAGGGTTCGATTCCAGTCATGGTAAAGTTTTTTTTTTCTTTTTCATTTGTTAGATTTGCATGTAATTATAATATTAACATGCTAAAATGAATTCTTACCAACGATTTGATTTTTTTTTCTCAATTATTTATGTAATTCATCAACGTCGAGTCGGAAAACATATGAACAGGGTTATAAACACTTTTTTTACTATAGCTATATGAACGTAGCTTTTTTTTAAGCAATTTAGAAATATTTAGAAGTAGTTGAAATAATCCACGGGGATTTCCGGCACTTCGCCGGCAAACTCTATCCCTACCCTTCGTACTCAAGCCTGCATTATACAATTTATAAACATAAACATGATGTCAGAGATAATATGTTAGCTCTGTAGGTAGAACACCAAGCTTTCATTTTACCGATTAGGGTTCGATCCCAGTTATAGCCAATTTTTTTTTTCATTAAAATTTTATATAAATACAATAATTGGTTGTTTGTATAAGTTCAAAATCAATTCATAGTGTCTTTTAAAGACAACATTTTCTAAAAAAGAGAATTCATAGTAACTCGTTCCTCACCCTCAGCTTATTTTCAGAAAAACAAGTTTTTTTTCGTAATTAATTGGAAGAATAATGTAATAAAATATATGAATTGATTTATAAGTATATAAAGTCACTTGAACAAGAAACAGAAAAAAAATTGCCTATGACTGGGATCGAACCCTGCCCAGCAAAATAAAAGGTCGGGGCTCTAACCACTGAGCTATTATAGTTCCAATTATATATACGATGCTTGAAAATTATAAGCTACAGGCTTGGGCACAGAAAGTGGGGGTCGAGCTTGCCGGCGAAGTATCGGAACTCGCCGCGGATTGTTTAAACAATTTTTTATTATTAATAAGTTGTTAAAAAAGGCTATTATCAATGTATTTGTACAAAAAAAGGTTAATGGCCCTGTTAAAATATTTTCTCATTTGTCATTGATTAATTGAAAAAAAAATTTTACATAAAAATTGAAATTTAAAACTCATTTTTGGCATGATAAAATTGCAATTACATGCAATTTAAATAAAAAAAAAATTTTGCCGCAATTGGAATCGAACACCGTTCGGTAAAATAACTGGCGAACCTTCTGACTATAGAGCTAGCATATTTTCATTTGCTTTGTTTACGTTTAGATATCGTAAGCTTCAGGCTTAGTAACAGAGGGTGGGGAATGTGCTTGCTCGTCAACTGTTCGAACTCGCAGTCTTCTCTGAAAAATAAGACGGAGATAGATAGATATATTTTGTGCTCTGTCTTGCTCGGAACAGATTATTCTGAAATTTGTAAATTTCTTGGTACCCTAAGGCTCCCTTTTTGTAGTGCATCCCTGTAAATTATCATTTTTCGAACGATTTCTTTGTTACCTACTCAATTTCAATTGATATCGAGCTTCGGCTTTTCGCCGCACAACGTGAGGGCGTAAAGTCAACTCCGGGAAACTTTCTGACTTCAGCCCAGCCTTAAACAGTTGAATAATTTTATTTCAACAAAGATAAATGAAAACGAAAGAGCGAATCGGTATTTTCGATATAACAATACTTGTAGATGATTAAACAATTTTAAAGACTCCGCTCATTAACGCTGATTGAATCCTCAATGACAGTATTCTGATTCGCGCATTGATGATTTTCATTCTCTAAAAATAAACCCGTGGAAATTCACTATTTTTAGTGATAGTAAGTATGACAAGAAATCCATCATCTCCAAGCATATTTTCTTTATGAATTTTTCGTCACACCTAACAGAGAGGTGAAATAATAAATTATCTTTCCTCTCTGATCTTAAGGCTGGGCTGTAGACAGATTTCCCCCTAAAAAGTTCCTAGCAAATTTTTCTCTACAAATGACGGCGTCAAAAATGGATGAATTTAGTTAATTTAGGACTTAATCGAAAGCTTATTTTATTCTTCACATCGGAAAACAACAATATAATAACATTAATTACTTTATCATAATTAGAAATGAAGATAAAGATATGCACTCATTTTTCACTAGATTTTAGAGGTGTCATGGCGGATACCGCTGTCATCAGCCGTCAACGAGAAAATGATTTATTTCACAATAACCACTATACCTATACTGTAAATCGTTGTTTCCCGATGTACATACTATTGTTCGGGATATTTAAAAAAATATTTTATAACAAAAAAACGAATAAATAAAACACAGTTTCGCGAGAAAAATTTCAGGTGATCATTCACAGAATCGTATTTTTTCCATTCTCGACAGGTGGCGTAGCAATGGTCTCTGAAAGGCATAGAATGATTATTGATTTTTACGACAGTGCGTATCAAAATTACTCAGAGCCCTAAGACAAGTGACAAAGAGCGTTATATCTTCTGTCGCAGTCTTATTCATTCCATCTTTCTGCGCATGTGTTGTACATAAAAAAGTATGAGTAGAAGTAAGAAAGGCTCATGTTCGTAGAAAGAGAGAGGCATACGACAATCGGCAGCGAGTTCTGGCACTTCGCCGGCAAGTTCTATCCCCTTCCTTCGTACCCAAGCGAGTAGCTTATAACTTATAAATACTAGCAGCGAAGAGTGCGCTTCGCGCGCTCAAAATTGAGGTTTTTATTCAATTAATTAATTAATTAATTTTAATATTTTTTGTGAAAATTCTTTTAAAAAACAGCATAAAAATAATTTTTTAATTTTTATTATCAGAACATTTTTAATACTCAACAATACAATTTTTATGCATGCATTTGTAACAAATCTTAAATCTAATCTACCAATAAATGTAACAAACCTTAAAGAGTCTTACAATTAAAAAATGTTTGTTATACATTATTTATTACTTTATAAAAATTGAGCTTTTTTTATTACTACTAAACTCAGTCTTAAGTTCAGTCTTATGAACTCAGGTTATTATTATAAAAATAATAGAAGAAAAATAGAATCAAAATGAAAGAATGTTTTTTTTTCTAAAAGTAGAAAAAGTAGAAACAATACAAAACTATAACTTCTCGTCATTAGAATCAAATTTTTTTTATGACGATGCGGTTCTAAGTTTTTGTTAATTTCAAAAAAATAGAAAACAATTCAAATTTGAAGGTTTTCTTCATTTCAAAAAAATAGAAAACAAAAAAATAATCAATCATTTCTTTTGAACAAAAAAAAAATATTCTATTTTAAAATAAAAAAAAATATCATTTGAGCACTCTTGCTCCATCAGAACGATGCTTTTTGAAAACAAAAAAAAATCTACTTGAGTTGAAAAAAAATAAAAATATAATGATTTTCATAAAAAGAAATGACCAATTAGTTTTTTTTAGTTCAAAAATAAAATGGTAATTTTGGAATAGAAAATGATTGAATGTTATGTTTTTTTTAAATAGAAACATAACAAAAAACTATTATTCATTGTCATCTGAATCGTATCTCCGACGATGAGAATCAGCATCCAAGCCCTCTGTTATCTGCATCAGGCGAGCGAAACTAAGTTTTTCATCACTTTCTCGAGTTATGTCTTCTGCTTTCTCTACTAAGATGTAAACAGGATTAGCTGAAAAATTACAATTTTCATTATTGAAAACTCTTGAATTTGAGACTAAAATCCAAATAATAAAGTTGAATCTCACCATTAACCTGAATCGACCCTTTGAGAGAAATATGATCTCCTTTAGTGAAAGGAATCTGACAGTCTTCTATACCGTGAATTCTAACTTCTATTTTTATGTGCTTATCTGTGATAGATCCACAAATATATTGATTTCTTGCATTTAATGTCTTAATGAGACCAAAATTAGTTTTAATAAATCCGACAGTTCCTGTAAATAATTAAAATTATAAAAAAATCGATATTTTCAATTGTATATATTTTATTTAAATGAACTCACGTATTAATTGGTGACCACACACGAGTAAATTACGAATTTTGATAAGAGGAGCTGGTCGATTAAGTTGAACTGCATTGTTCCCGATGTCATCGTGACCTTGGATAGTAATATTGGTGTTCGATTGAACTACTAACTCATAATTTTCCGTCCCTTTGTTGTATTTGGGCTTGGTAATTGGCTTACAATATACTGATTCAATATGAAGGATCTATACAAAAAAAGACTTATACAACAACCCAACATTTAAAAAATTTTAATAAAATTGACAATTTTAAACTTACCGCATTAGTTTTAATATATGGAGCAATGCGTTTTATTTCGTCATTCCAAGCAGCTAGCTGGAGTTTTTCTCCTCTATCATTGACTAAATCGACTTTATAAAGACTATTTTTGTCTTCCCCAACTTCAGAAGGACCTGAGAATCCACTGACTTTTGCAATGATTTCTCTGAAAATGACGCGTAATTAATTGATATTTTAATGAGAAAAAGAGACATTAATCAATTCAATACTCTAAACATAAACTCTAAAAATTAAAGTCATTAAAATAACTTATAAATAAAAATTTAATTATAGTTTCACTTACATAGATTTGTCATATGCTTTGAATCCTTTGAACGATGAATATCCCACGAATTCTCGAGTATTAACTGATTTTTCGGGTTGTCTCTGTTGTACAACCTCATCTTCAACTACTACTGCTTCTTGATTGAGCAGATCATCATTTTTTTTATTTACTTGCTGCTCCAAATGGATTTTTTTTGAATTATTTGCATCACTACCATCATCATCAAATAATTTTTTAGAACTTCTTTTGTTTTTTGAAGAGTTCATTTTATTCAAGAGAATAATCTAGAAAAAAAATGGCGGATATTCAATTATTGATATGATTGTGACGTTTAGCAATTATTAAGCGATAATATTTATAATAAGGCCGCTATTGAGAAAGAAATATGATAATTATTATTACGTGCTTCTGATGTACTTACTTTTAAGTGAATTTTCTAAAAAATACAGCTGTATTTATCAAAATACGTGAATGGTGCACCTGAGACACTTTCACTCCAGGACGACCACGATGAAAAAGACTGAGCATAGCTTTTGGCGGTAAACGTTAACGAACTTAAAACTTTCACATACCTAGATTAACATATGAGTCATGGAAAATGTGTTTGATAAGAAGTCTGGCGGCCAAAAAATGAACTATCTCAAACAGACTTATCGACATAACTGTTATAATTTAATTCAAGCATAGGTTCGAATTTAGCTGAAAAGCTAGTTTTATATTTTATATTAAACAATTAAAATTATTTATTTAATAAATAAAATATCAACTGTTTATTTATTCTTAACTCGCTACAGCTGTGGTGCTACCTGCCGGCCGCTGATCACCACATGAGCATAACGGTGTGACCACGTTTTTGGTATATGTATATATGACAGATAATATGTCAGATAAGTTGTAAACAATTTTAAAATATGATGAACCTATTTTATTAATAACAAAATGGACTGTGAAGTTTTCAAAAAATTATTTACAACAAATCTATGTATCGATAATTATCAACGTCAGGATAGTACCATGTAAGTTTTATTTTTTATCAAAAAATAGATCACAATTCTAATTTTTCTCATGATTGATATTGTTTGTTGAATATTTACAATTCTGAATTAATTTTTTTTAATTTAAATTTTAATTGAGTTGAAATTGAGAATAAAATTACGCTGCATAATTGCAAATTTAGAGGAAAAGTAAGTAGAGTAAAATTTTCGAATTCATTCACAGTCAGATTTGCGGTTATGTGGATTCAATCGAAGGTATCACGAAAATTGTACATAAAACAATGTGGAGTTTAATTCTCAACAATAATCAAGGACGAAGAGTAAGAGTAATTTTTTTTGAAGAGCTGGCTACTATATATTCTCAACTTATTCACCATCGATCTGTAAGTTACTCAATTAATTTATAATTCAAACTGAATTCTATCATTTTCAAAATTGGTTAAACTATTGCCAAGCTGCTCGACTAATTATTAACTCATTAAATTTTTATCTTAATGACCAATTGGAATTTTTTTTTTATTATAGATTGTTACACTCAACAACGCTTATTGTCGAAAATGTCACAATACGTATGGAATACTTCAAGAAAATTTACATCAAGTAGAGTTAGTTGCAAGGTCGTCCACAAAAATTTCTCTTAGTTCTATTATTTTTGATATGATTCAACCATTGGAATGTCAAATGATAGATGTCTTTCGAAAATATTCCATAAAATGTAAATCATTTGTACTTTATAAGTGACATCATAATCATTTTTATGTGTTATAAAAAATAAACACAATAAATCTTTTAGATATAACTGGGTATGTCAAATCAAATTTTACTCTTATCGAGAATCGAAAATCAAGTTATCAATCAGGTGTTGTAACTGATGGTCGTTTTGAAGTGAATGTTCGTATTTTCGATCATAAGATCAACCCGAACATTAAGATTGGAAAATTACTTATATTTTTGGCAGAATCACAAGTTGATAATCGTAAGTAGATTCTTAATATTTTATTTTAAAAGCAATTTGTTGATGATTTCGATTAATATGTTTTTAAATTTATTCAATATTCTATATTCATAATAAATTTTTCTATATCGATATTTATATACAATGTAATATTCACAATTTCTTATTCTTTTAATGAATTACCTAACTTTTCTTTTTTAGGAGACTATTCCAGTTATTTAGCAGTACCGAAAATGAGTGATATTCGAGTTTTAGATTTTACCATGTCTATAGAAAATCTTGAGTTAGGAATCTTAGCTCCGCCAAGAAACCTATTCTAACATTTTTTATCAAATCTCAGAATTTAATTTCAAATAAAAATTGAATATCACAACAAATATCTGATACTCAAATATAACAGTTTTGTACTATAAGAATAAATTGTATTATATATTATATAAATAATATAATAAATAATTATATAAATATAATGAATAAGGTTCTATTTATGACTAATACTCATTAAATAATTGATAAGTTTTTTTTCGAGCTGTGCCAATATAGGTTTCTTTAAAGTTCTTAAAAATGATTCTGAATTGAGGCATGACTTAAAAACCTATGAAATTATGAACATAGCTGCGGATAATTGATAATATTAAATCAATAATTTTAAATAAAATATTGTAGTTAAATATCTAATAATAAAGAATAGAAAAAATAGTTTTATATGATGATAATTATATTTTGTAAATTAACAATGAAACTATTTACTTTAATATCTTTGAATCTTTTTCAATTAATTTTTCATTACAATCACAAAGTAATTGCCTTTCCAAATACTATAATAAGTTTAAACAAAATATTATTTTTAGTTTTATGATATCGTCTTCAACAAATAGAGACGTTTATAAATATAATTCTTTATATATATAATTTTTAACAGTGGAATTGCTTCTTTGATCACCAAGATAAATTTTCAAAGATTGCCTAGAGCGAACTCGAGAACATGCGACATAAAGATGTCCATGACTAAAAACGTCCCTTCGAAGATCTATTCCAATCTTTTGAAAAGTTTGTCCTTGTGATTTATTTATTGTCATAGCAAAAGCCAACCTGATAGGGAATTGCCTTCTTTTGAATGAAAAAGGATAGACATTTTCACAATACAAAGTTATACGATTAATGAAAACAATGTCTCCACTTTTATCACCACTCAAAATTTGACATTTTAGTAAATTATTTTGGAGCTCTAAAACTAATAATCTAGTACCATTACACAAGCCTTCATGAATACTAAGATTTCTGATGAGCATAACAATACAATTTACTCGTAAACGTAATTCATGAGGAGCAAGATTTGGCGGTGATAGACTATTTAAATATTCTGGTAAAAGAGCTTCACTCATATTACCATTATCATCGCAATTATTTACACTATCTATGCTAGTATAAATTCGTTCACTATTTGGATCTAACAATTCGACCACTTTTTTGTTAATTTCATCAACATCTATATTCCGAGCTGAAAGTATTGCACATTTTGTAGCTTCATTAAATTTCTTTTGCCGAAATAAATCGCCATAAGTATCATTTATTATATCATCATCAACGTGAGCTAAACAACATGATGGTATTTGGACGTTATCTTCATTATCATTTAAAGTTCCGTTACCTAGATTTAATAAGAACTCTGCAAATTCAACTTCCTCAGGTAATACTCGCATATTTTGTGATAATGAAAATAATTGAAAGTTTTTCCATAACGAACTGAATTTAATTGAGAGATTTACAGTTTCACTTCGAGTACTGTGGGTTTTAACAGGTAGAAGTTGTCTGAAATCACCACCAAGAACAACAATTTTACCACCAAAAGCTACATCTTTCTTATTGGTTATATCACGTAATGTTCTATCCATTATTTCTAACGCATATCTTGGTGCCATTGGGGCTTCATCCCAAATGAAAACATCAGTTTCTAATAAGTATTTTCCTTCTTTGGATTGAATTTTAATATTCGATGATGAATCAGAAAACATAGGTACAGGTAAACCAAATGTTTTATGAACAGTTCTACCATTAGGCAGCAAAGTAGCTGCAATTCCTGTGTATGCCATGGTACTAACTTTCTTATGTTGACTTCTTAACAAATACCATAAAGTAGTATAAATGAACGTTTTTCCTGATCCACCAGGTCCATCGATATAAAAACAATTTTTCTCGTTATGATTTGGATTTATATTATTATCATCATTAGTTTGCAGATTCAAAATAGTATCAACAATAACTTTTTGTTCTTCATTTAATTTGTTATATTGTTCTAATCCAAGTTCTCTTGCTTCATCAATAGATACTTCATTATCGATTCCATCTATTTCATTGATTTGTTCCATCGTAGGATAATCAGCTAAACTTCGATCTTCAGCATGAAGCATTGAAATTATTTGTAAATATGCTTTTTTAATTCCGTGGATTGATGAACCATATTTTCTTGTATAGTCTTCAGACATTGCGTCCTTAAACTCTTCCCATAACTTTTCTGGATGTTGAGGTTGGCAATGAATTAAAATACGAACAAATAATCTACGTAAACTTGAAGGCATCATCCAAACTTCAGCTTCATGCATTGCGTTTTGCCATTCATCATCATGTTCAATTAATCCTCGTGCTATGCAAGTTTCAAAATATGATGAATATAGAATATTATTGAATGTTCTAAGATTCTCATAACTTGTAGCTCCTTTAACTGATAATAATAACAATCGAAGATGAAATAATTCAGTTTGAGTAGGACTAACAGAATACATACGTCCAATTGTATTAAAGTGTAATTTTCGTTTTTCCCAACTTGTAATATTTCGTCCATCAATTTTTTTCTTTTTAAAAACATAATGTTGAGGAATTTCAGGATATATATACTGCTTTGCTAGTTCATCAGTTGAATTTAATTTGAAATAATCAGTCAACATTGTTGTTTTATCTGCTAATGCGTTAGTCATTTCATCTTCATTCATTTCAATATCAATCGTTATACTCTGTTGATTTGGTAAATGTAAAGGCAATCTAACAATAGAATGACTTTTTTCTTGCAATGGTTTACTTAGAATTCGCCATGTAGCTTCAATTGGGCTTACATATCGAGTTTCAATATAATTTTTTATTTCATCATGGTTAACAACCGAATTATCTGACGATGTTTCACCTACAGTTACTGTTGCACAATCATGCCCTTTATATACATATTTAAATAGATATTTTACAGATTTAATACTTGCCACAGCTTCCACATTGATATGACAATTAAATATCATAATTAAATGAGGACAATAAGGGACAACATGACGATTATCAACTATATATACATTAGATCGATTATAAGTTTTATTAATATTCCTTCGTCGATATGAAGGATAACCGTCATCACCCAATATTGTTTCATCTTGAAAGTCTTTTGGAAAATGTTTAGAACATTTATTATTTATCAAACACCAATTTCCACAGGGTCCATGAATCATATTTTTCATAACAATATCATGTAAAATAGGATTTTCATTCGGATCTGGAATTTCAGCAGAAATATAACGATCAACAATTGTTGGAGTAGTCATTTTTGAATTTGAATTTAATGTTATTAATAGATGAATATGTGGTAATCCTCTTTTTTGAAACTCAATCACATATACATATGCAGCGACGTTCCCGAAAAACTTTTTTTTAACAATTAAATCAATCAAATGATTTTTTTTTAAATTGAATACTCTCGCACAAAGATCTGGTCTATCAGAAGCAATTTGATTAGGAAGCAAATTATCCGTAATTTCTTTCCAATGAGGATTACAAGTCATTGTAACAAATAAGTCTGGTTTACCATATTTGCGTACAATAGCCATTGAATCTTGATAATTCTGAAACATATTGCGTGGTGATCCTGTAAATGTTGCCGGGAGAACTACAACTTTTCCTATACGACTATTAGAATCATTTGCTATACGTTGTAAATGATCATGAACTCCTTGGTACGTATCAACTCTTAATTGTGCTTGATGATTTTTATGATATGTCATTTGATCTTTTTCTATTTTGACATAATTATCAACTAACCATTGCTGAAATAATCGACCTCCTCTTAGAAATACATTAAATTCGTCATTGCGTATGGACATTAGGTATTTCACATAAGCTGCTCGAGAAACTCGTTTATTTTCACCAATTTTCATTATATTTTGATGCCAACCGGGAGAACCATATGGATAAAATAAAGGATAAATCCACGGTTCGACATTTGGATTCATTGTACTTATATATTGTAATTCTTTTGTCCTTCGATTGCGTATACTTACGTATGATTCTGGAATTTCTCCATCTGCAGTAGTAGTAAAAATAGCAGCAACTTCATTAACTTGTTGCAAATTAAACCTTCTACGATCTACACCAGGTTTAAGTGTAAAAAGTAGTTCCATCTCTGGAGTATTTGAACAATTGGATTGCAATGCTAACTCTTCTTGTTTCTTGACTTCTTCATGCATCATTTGATAAGATTTCGCAAACATGTTATGGTCGCGCATGATTTTATCAAGATCTTGCAAAATATTCACATTAAGTTGTGAATTAGTTGCTAAACGATTAGTTATTGCTTCATTAGAATCAATGATGAATAATTGACCGAAACTGGGCGAATCATCTGATTGTGGGTAAAGACTTGTATTTATTTGATAGTAAACTTGACCTTGAATCTTAAAACAATAAGGACCAGGGCGTCTTGATTGAAAGTTGATCAAATTAGCATTGAAAGATGCAAATGAAAACGAAGAATTATAAACGCGTATTCGTTCATGAAAATTTTTAGAATTTGGATCGGTATAATCAAATAACATACGAAGTTTATCAGGAATAGATGGTGGACGCTGAAAAGAAACTTTTCCATGATTACAACAATCATTGAATGAATTACCTTTAGCGAACACTTTTTCTTGAGAGAAATGTTTTGCATTACAATGTCTGCATAGAACATCCATTTCTCCAATAAAGTATTCATTAATATCGTTTACATTTTGATTTTGTATTACTGAAATTGTATTTCTTCTTTGTTGGCATAGTCGTTGTCGCTCTCGTGCAGAAACAGCATTATTACTTGATAATGATTGATTTACAACTGAATCATCATTACTAACGGATAAATTATCAGTACTTAATAATGATTGATTTACAACTGAATCATTATTACTAACGGATAAATTATCAGTACTTAATAATGATTGATTTACAACTGAATCATTATTACTAACGGATAAATTATCATTGTTATTCATAAATTGTTGACTGGATTTTGTTACTGATAAACAAATATGATCCGACGAAACTCTATTTATATTTGAATTTGAATTATTATCTACTAAAGAACTTTGTATTTTTCGTTGACGACGTTTACGCTGATTTTCAGCATTTCTCTGACGTCTTTGACGTTGGAACTCTTCTTCTTCTTCAACTGACCGAACAATCTTTCGTCGTCCCATTTTTTTCAGTGAAAAGAAATTAGATGAGAATAAAATATAAATATAAGTGTGTAATTAAATTATAATTAGATTTAAATTATATAAAATAAATTCAAAAAAATATCAATTCTATAAAATATATTTTAATGGAATATACAAAGTGTGGGGATCAAAAAAGACATTAAGTTGTAAAATTTTTCTTGTTTATTAGGAATTTGTTTATTTAAATAAAAATAATTAAGTTAATTTTACACATAACATATATGTACAACATATAATATCATTTAAACCAAAAATTTTTCAACTAAATTTTTAATATTACTTATTATACTTCCAATTCTATCATTCAAATAGTATTCCTGTAGTGCAAATTATACTCTTTATACGCAATGTAGTTCTAGTTGTACTCTTTATATGTAAATATAAGTTCGAGTTGTACTCTTCATATACAAAACAAATACTTATTGAATTCCCAAATGTACTCCAAATTACTGTATTTCTATTTAATCTTTTCTTTTAAAATAAATACATCAAAAATGGTACTCTTGTAATTCTGGTAGTACTCTTGAGGAATTGTACTCCTAATCCTCAGTTTAGTACTGAAACAGCTGAGGAAATGTACTCCTATTCCTCAGTTTAGCTGAAAAATAAAAAATAAAATCAATTAATTAAACTTATTTTTATATGAAATAAGTATATCAATTTGAAGATTTCTATTCGAAATCAAAAAAGAATAAATTTAGGAGGTAGTTGCACAACTAATAGTATAATATAGGTAAAATTTATGTCAAAATTCAATTTAAAGATAAATGATAAGGCTAGCTATCACTTTAAAAAATTTTATAAATTAATTTTTAAAATTTTGCTTAATAAAAGTGTCAATTTCTTTAACCTATCATCTCTAACTTCTCTATATCAACAATAAGCTTTGCCTTCACAAATAATAAAACGATAAAATTGATAATGAAATGAGCGAATATATCAATGTAAAACTTACCTGCGATCGATTTGTAATTGTCAATAATTATAAAATAATAACTATTTGAAATTTTCCTTTTATTGCACGTGTTTCTGCACAATAAACAATTAAATAGATATAATTTGATTCAGTCACAGTTTATTACAGTTTATTACGATCTTACTACTGCCCTCTCGTGCTAATATAAAATAATAAATATGAAAAAAGATAAATCCACAGCACTTCCTAGTTGCGCCATCTGTTTTATCAAGTTTAAATTCGAGTGAAGAAAGAACCATAGCGATTTGTTATCTTAATTAATATACAAATATAAACGAATGAATATTTTAAACAATAGACAATAATATTATTTGTTAAATAATTTTTAGAATAGACAATAATTAAATAAAATATAATATCAATATATTATAGAATAATAAAATTACGAAAAAAGCATTACATATATATGATATATGATAAAAATAATATCAATATTATAATAAATATATAGCCATATAGAAACAAATTCACATCATCTTGTCTTTATAAATTGATTTTTTTATTAATAAAAAAAAATTTTCTAATCATTAAACGTTAATCAATCATAAAACATCAATAAAATAAATTTTAAAAATTCAAATCAAAAGCCTATAGCGCCATTATTCTCAACGACCAATCAACGCCCGAATAAACCGATGACGGAAATGACGCTAAACATAACCAACATCCGTGATTGTCTACTTTTTAGTAGAGGATAAACAATAGAAGAGTTAATGTATTAACTCTGCACACAGAGCACTAAATTTTTAATTTGCCGAACCGAGTTCAAACCCCGCCGCAGCCAATAATGATATACAAGCGTTATTTTAGCATGCCAAAATTAGTTTTAAATAAAATTTTTTTTATTAATTACTCTTCCAATTTATAGCGGAAGAGTAAGAAAGTTATTAAAAAGTTTGAAAAAACTTGTTTTTATGTCGCTACAAAAGAGGCAACAGTTTTTTTTAATAATTATAAAACATGAAGAGCATTTACAACAATTTGTGGTCAGAGTGCCAGTTCTTTATTTTGCCGAGCAGGGTTCAAACCCAGTTACGGAAAGATTTAAAAAAAATTTTTTTTTTGTTAAAATTGCATATAATTGCAATTTTTGGATGCCAAAATTAATTTTCAATATCAATTTTAATTTTTTCTATAATTATTTTTCTAATCAATGACGGAAGAGTAATAAAAAATTAAAGTAGTGCAGAAAAATTTATATTTATATAGTTACTTTAGTTGTAGGATTTTTTTTTTAACAAAAAAAAATAATAAACAGCAAAAAACAGTTGAAACAATCCGCGGCGAGTTCCGGCGCTTCGCCGGCAAGCTTTATTCCCACTCTCCGTACCCAAGCCTGCAACTTATGACTTATAAACATGTAAATAACAAGTAAATACATGTTAGTTCTGTGGTCAGAGCACGCGACTTTTATTTTGTCGGGCAGGGTTCGATCCCCGTCACAGCCAATTTCTTTTTTCGTTGTTAAAATTACACATAATTACAATAATTACCTATTCATGTTGGATTAAGATTGTTTTTTAAAGTTTTACAGAATCTACATTTTTTAATAAAGAGAGCACATGTCGTTTTTGGAAAAATTTAGAAATTAATTTTAAACTAATATGAATGGGTAATTATGATAATTATATGTAATCTTAACGAATGTAAAAAAAAAATTGGTCGTGGCTGGGATCGAACCCTCATCGGCAAAGTAAAAGTCTGGCGCTCTGACCACAGAGCTAGCATAGATTCTTCCGAAATTTTATATTTATTAATTATAAGTTGTCGGCTTGGATACGGAGAGTGGGAAGAGAACTTGCCGGCGAAGCGCCGGAACTCACCGTGGATTGTTTTGATTATTTTTTGATGTTTATCATTACGAATTGTTAAAAAAATAATCTTTCAACTAATGTCGCTATACATAAAAATAAAGATAAGTTTTTAACTTCCCAGTGGGAAGTTATAGTAATGGGTCCGATTTTGCGAATCGCTAATTTTGACATATCTCCACGTTTTGAGGTCCCCAGAGTTAAATACGATAGTTTTTACGTGGACGTCTGTGTGTGTGTATGTACGTATGTGCGTATGTTCGTATGTTCGTAGGTGCGTTCGGAATTATTTTTCGCCTCGATTATCTCGAGAACAAAAAATGATATCGATGTGGGACCAACTGCGTTCGACGCGTAATCACGTAACTTAGAACTGATTAGATTTTCAGCAAAATCGGTCCAGCCATTTTTTATGCAGAATCAAAAAACTGAAAAAATAGTGAACTACCTAATTTCTGCAATTTATAAATTATACCATTTTTTAGACGGAATTTCGAGATCTTTTAAAATATGAATATCAAATGTTTAGAATACTGGTATGAAAATATGGTGACAATGTTTCATCAGAAAAAAAAAAATTTTAAAAAACAAAATCAGCAATGAAAGAATTTTAAACTCGGGTCAGGATTGAGAAAACAGCATTAAAGACGATATAATAGTCAATAATAATTGTCAATAATATGGAATTGTGTACATAACAATTGAACATTGTTACTAACAAGTGATTATTGATCATAGTAATATTTAAATAATAAGTTTTAAATTGTTATAAACAATAAAAATAGGGACCCTTTCTATATCTATGAGTACTTTTCACGCATAATTTTTTCTTTTACTAAAAGAATGTTACCAACCGTTATAAAAGAAAGCATACTTTCTTGCGTATAACAATGAAATTTGTTGTAAATAATGAAAAAAAGGATCTATGAGGTACATTCGAACTCTTCTAACGCACAATTTTTTCTTCTACTGAAATAAAGTAACTAACCATATCAAATGAATAAAAACAGACTTATTTCGTTTATAACAATTCCATTTGTTATAAAAAATGGAAACGGGTTCTATTCAAATTGTTTTTTTATCTTTTCCACTGGGAAGTTGGTCGTGTGGACCTTTCGGGTCGCACCCAGACCACTGCAGAGCACTGATATTTTTATACTGTTTGATTTTTTTTATTATTTTTCCGTCATTGATGGGAAAAATAATTATGAAAAAAATTGAAGTGTAAAATTAATTTTGGTATCCTAAAATTGCAATTATATGCAATTTTAACAGAGAGAGAAAAAAAATTGGCTGCGGCGGGGTTTGAACTCGGCTCGGCAAATTAAAAATCTAGTGCTCTGTGTGCAGAGTTAATACATTAACTCTTCTATCGTTTATATTTATAAGTTATAAGCTACTCGCTTGGGTACGAAGGAAGGGGATAGAGCTTGCCAGCGAAGTGCCAGAACTCGCAGTCTCCTCTCTGATGAATAAGACGGAGATGGATGTATATACTTCATGCTCTGTCTTGCTTAGAACAAATTATTAGAGAATTTGTAAATTTTTTGGTGCCCTAAGGCGCCTTTTTTTTAGTGCATTCCTGAAAATTATCATCTTATGAGAAATTTCCCTGTTACCTACTCAATTTCAATTGAAGTCGAGCTTCGGCCTTCTGCCGCCCAACGCGAGGGCGCAAAGTCAACTTTGGAACTTTTCTTCGGTATAGCCCAGCCTTAAATTACTTTAAGCAAATGTGCGCATGCGTGCAAACTACGTTCGTGGCGCCGACAAACAGCTAAGAGAAAACGTTTGTGCTCGGACCATTTTGATGAAAAGATGTTCATAGGAGGTAATTCAAAGGGTTGTCGACGGAAATTAGTACGTAGCGCACTACCACATGATATACATTTTAATAATAGTAATGATAATGACGTGATAATGAATCGCCCATGTTCACCCATAAATTTAGAAGCATCAATAACAGCTAACGAAACTGTACAAAACGCAAGTGTTCCAAACTTAGAGGTATCAGTAGTATTAGAACCAAGCTCCACGCAATACAGTCGAGATAACGAATCAAATGTAGAATCGGAATTACTATTGAGTGCTAGCACCATACTAGATAGTCCAGATAGGAAAACAAATCTAAAATCACATGACAATCAAACGTTAGCTCCTCATCATGCTGTCATGAAAATTTGCAGAAATTA